CTCATATAGTTTTCTTTTTCAAAGAGTCATGCCCCATTATTTATTTGTTGACGAAACATGGAAGTGACTTCAGATCATTTGATGAATTCTGTCTGTGGATTATATTGTTGTCTTGGGATAACAACTTCCGGTTCTCCGTAGAAGTGCGAAAAATCACAAGTAGCGGGCTGACGATGCGAGTGCTCAGTAGAGCTCAGCGCAAATCTCGTTGTTTACCGATGTCGCGCTGGTGGCGCTGACGTCGTCATGCGCCGGCGGAGAGCGCCTGAACTGCTTGTTGTCGGGGCTCGGGGCGTCCCCGTCTGCAGGCGGCCACGAGGATCGCATCGCGGATGCATTGGCCACTAGTTGCACATCGATCCGCTCATCTTTCATCAACACTTACGGGTCTTTTGCTCGGTTGCCCCTTCTTCCGATCGCTCTCGACGGCTCGGCAAAAGCCGCGCCTCATTCTCTCTGTTATCAGCTGCTTTTTGCTTCCTAAACGGCTGGGCGCTTGCCACTCGATATTCGTTATCTTCGTCGCTGCGAGTTTTTTCTTGTTGTTTGCTTACCAGTAGAAGACGGAAAAGCAGCACTCAACTACTTGACATTGTTCCTCTCTTGACGTCAAAGATCCTGCTATGTTATGTCAGACTTGTCCTTTTGCACCAGTTGTTCACATAATGTTGCCCTTATTTTTTCTGCAATTTCTGATCCCTTCCATTATCATTATCTTCTTTGGCTCATAACGTTGAGGAAAAAGCTATAATGTTTTCAAAAATTGGCAATTGTTACCTGTTTCCATAAGCGAGTCAAACTCTTTTTTATCTTCTTTCAAGCTGAAGCAATACATTCAGCACTATCGCACTGTTGGCGAAGTGTAGGTTCCGCAAATGAAGAATTTTCACCAAAAAAAATATTGCTAACAAGACTTCAGCATTAAAATACATGCTAATCGTTCCTCCCTTTTGATTTAATGAACGTCGGTTCGCCGTTTCCTTTGCGAATTCAGTGACTCCCAGATTTTCGTCTTCGGGTTTTCCATCAATCTCCTCTTCGACATGCCGAGATCAGAACTGTGCTTCTGCTTTCAATCACGGACTAGCGATACAAGGGGCCTGACGACGCACGCCGTTAAAGAGCCAATTAAGCTCAGACGACAGAAAAGTCTGCAACAATTTTGCGAAAGGTTTCACCTTGACCCCTCGCGCCACGCCCATCCACAATTCACTTCTAATAAGACATAAGGTTTCTCGATACTTTTGATGAAGCACAACCTGCACGAATTTGGACTCAACAAAAACTCTCAAAAATTGTTATGAATCCTGATGTTGAATCTACTTTTGCCTCCTGTGGAGCACCTACAGCCTTTTTCGCTTCGTTCTATTATTATCACCACTCTTCATTGCTACTGAGTATGCTTCCTTACTGAAAACACTTCACGTACTTCCATTGTTCGCGGATTTATCGTGGAAGTTGTACGCGCTATGAAACGACCAAAGCTTTCTTCCGATCAGTACGAGCTGTTTTTAGTGCAATTATTTTTTAGCCATCTTTTTGTTCCGTTTTGTATGTAGCCATCACATAAAGATCTTTTCGACGTGCAAAGCGGATTGTAACAATTTACGAGTTTCTCCACTTTAGAGTCAGGCTCGCAAAGTTCACTATTCGACTTTTATAACATCCGTTATAGAAATATGTCGTCTTCAAAAAATGGACAGCTAACGCGGATGTTCTTCTTAGAGCCTGCATGCTGGCCATAGAAATTGCATAAAGCGTAGTATTTCATACCCAATACCCTAATTGCATACGACGAAACCTCTAACTGCAGCTGTTGTTAAACAATAAAAAGCATTATCTTCGGAAAGACTTGTCAGTTTAGTACTCATGACTTCCATGCTGCACCGCTTATTTCCCAGAATGAAAAAGTGTGCAGTTGCAGAAAGTTGTTGAAAACCTCTTAGCATGCGTGCAGCTTACGTGATGAATACTGCTCATTCTCTATGCTGTCGTTAACTTCCAAATCGCCAAATTAGCTTCATATAGCCACTGAATTGGTTTATTAAGTTCTATTCTGAGACTAGGAAACTCGAAAAGGCTCTGCACACGTTATCGCAACAAGCTCTAACCGGTCCCTTAATTCCAAGTGTTAAAATGGCGAAAACATGACAAAATACAAGTATCAACTTGTTGAGCACACGCCGTACTTGATCCACTTGATCCGCTTCGCTACTGGTCAGTTTACTGATTTGACCAATAGCGAAGTGGATAAAGTGGATCGAGCGAATCAAGTGGATCAAGAATGGCGTGGGCCTATTCACACGTGTGCAAAACTTGCCTGAGGGCTCGCACAGTCCGGTATGGAACGTGTTAGCACACTTAGTGACGCAATTTCGACCACTTCTTACCCGTGTTACGCTAAGTATCAAACAAAATGATCTTGTTATGCAACTCTCACATGCTCTGAAACATTGTACTCATCCTCACTATAATTTCGTAACAGGCCCTCTCCAAAGACTGACAGATCAGCGGCTTATTGTAGTAAGTGAGATGCTTCCGAATTCAATAAGAGAAACTGAATTTTAATTTTCGGTCAAATCTACAGAAGGCTTCCCTGATCTTTTAAGTATGATCCCCATTTATTATCTCCTTTTACGACGCAACCTCTGCAAGCATCCATCGCAGTCTCACACATACATACATCACGGCTTCGTTCATACTTTCGTACTTACGAGGAAAGTGTTTTTGGTTGAAGGCTCTTTAGATAAAGTACCATTTTTTTGAAGCACTAAACGCTGTCCAAACCTGTGTTCGATATCTGCTGGGCGCCTCTGGCCGCGAGCTATAAGCGTTTCATAGGCCGGGAAATCGGGCGCAACCAATATAAAATCATTCATAAACGCTCGAATGAAGCAAATATCAAAATATCAGTGAATATTGGGGTACTTTGAGAGTTAAATATAGTAGAAGTCATCATACTAGTCACCTCGCTGCGTCTTATTTCACGGGGGACGGTCAGGAGGTACGATCGGCACGAACTTTTCGCGAAGCGACGCCGCAATGTGCTTCAGCCCTCACAATAGCAGCGCTTCGGGATCGTTCATACCGCGCACAAAGGCGGACGAAGGCGGACCAAGCCGGACAAAGGCGGACGAAGGCATGTGTGAGTGTGTGTGTCGAGAGAAACGAGACGAGGCGTGTGTGACTGTGTGTATGTGTGTGTCGAGAGAAACGAGACGAGACAAGACGCGCCTTCGTCCGCCTTTGTCCGCCTTCGTCCGCCTTTGTGCGCGGTATGAACGATCCCTTCTGGCGCAGTCTTACTTACAGCATTAAGTCATGTATCTGCCCCCACCCTCACCCCCTGTTTTTGCCGCCGGAATCTCTATTGGCGGAGAGTCTTGAAGGCCCCAAGGTTTGAGCGCGGCGTGTGCGGAAGAGCGGCCGCGTACCTCCTGCAGCCTTAATTCACTGCGCAGAAATTTGAAATCCCGGATGAGGTCGGCGGACCCGCCTGCACTGTGGATGCACACAAGGACAGACGTCTACTTTAAAATGACGCCAAAGTCTTTTTTCGGTTTTTATCGTTGTTTTTTTTTTGGTTTTCAGCCTCCACAACCGCTATATTCCATTGAACTATTGCTCTAGGGGCCATGTGTGCCGTTTTGCGGACATTCTCAAAAATTTTTACTTCTACTCTCAGAAAAACAAGGAATACTTGCAGTCAAAAGGGAAGGAGTTGTAAGTAGTCCTATCTCTGCAATATGAGCACTCTGTGCTTATAACTGAGGAGAGAGTGCCTAGGTAAACCTTCTTTGAACCTCCTATTGGATGATAACGACGCCTAGTGTCAACTGAAATGAGGACCAGAATTTCATCGCAAGTCTTACGTGAATACTATTCCACCCACTTCTACGCACAGATTGCTTACGTTGCAGAAATAGTTGCAATTATGATCTCGTCGGACTCGCGAATTCCCCTTTTTGGATGAGAGTGAAATTAATGTGAACGGAAAATGGAGCGTAGGACTTTTATGGCAGCATACCAAAAGAAATAGCCGCTGCAACAAAATTAAGGTTTGAACACAAAAAAGTGACTTTGGCGTAATATGAGGCGTCCTATTGTATGCAACCTGGCAGGCGAGCCCGCTGACCTTATCCGGGATTTCAAATTTTTGTGCAGTTACACAAGACGCAGCTGTCCAGACAGATGGAGTCTACTATACTTCATGTCTGATAGACTCGAGCTCAATCCTGCACTGTTTGCGTGCTGGAGAAACCCTAACGAGCATTTTTACCTAGATCCTATTATTTTTCGTTCAAAATGATCATAACTCGGCATTCAAAGGCGCACAGCAGATGAAGACAGATTTGGATCAACGTTCAATGCTCTAGAAAAACGTTTACATTCAGTTAGGAAAACCAACTTCGACTCGATACTGTCCCCTTGTAAGTTGCGGGCGGGCACGGGAACGACAAACGATGGCATGCAATTTGAAGGCATACGCGCGCGATTTTGACTATATTAGATGTGTGCCTATTTTATGCTTCTAAATTTTTTGTCTACCTCTATGTCAGTGTTTTCGCTTACAAGGGCCATAGGAACCAGATCTAAGGAAGGTTTCCTAACGCTTTTGCAATAAAAAAGGGACAAAAAAAGCAACAATGCATGCGGTACGGTGCGCGAAGTAAGACCTTTTGCCTGCAGTGTGCTAGCACAAACAATTATGGACGGAGCCCATAGTCTGTGCCCTAATCCGTTGTCATCAAATGGATCTTCAAATGGATCAAATGGATCTCACGGTTGTAATTTGGAATAAGTACACAAGCATTTATGTTCGTATTCGTTTTTGTAGTACTGATGAAGCACTTCTCTGATCCTCACGGTTCCGTAAATCTGCCGTTGGTCTGTTTTTCACGTAATCAGTCGGCATTCATGAAGTAACATTATCGCATTCACACTTTTTACCCGCTCGTTATCGACAAGCTTTCTCACTCATTTGATGGTCAAATTTGCAGGCACAGGCCACGATACGGGTTTTTGACCTAAAACAAAATGACTACGGATCTGCCGAGTGAGGAGAAGATTTCTATGGAGAATTTTGCGCTCCTGCGGGTTCTCGGCAAAGGAGGTGAATGTTGTTCGTTGTTTTTTTTTCTGGGGATGTTGTCGGGGCTGCCTGCAATCGATTCCCTTTCTTTCATCCTGTTCTCGTGCAACTCTGTCTGAAGTAGGGTTCACTACCGCTGCAGAGACGCAAACGCTACTCATGTAAGATCCGCATTGATAATGGTCAAATCAGTGGACCAACCAGTAGCGAAGTGGATGAAGTGGATTAAGTGGGATCAAGTGGATTGAGTATAGAGCGTGCCTGATTGATCGTTACCTATTTAACTTGAATACTGTCGAGCAGTACATGCATTCTTGAGTAGATAGTGTAGTGCAAACATGTGTTTTATAAATCTTATCTTGAAACGGAACCAGTTTTGTTGAGTCAACAGCGGTTTGCTGCGTTCTGTGCGCACATTTTCTCAGGGAAACGGAAAACTGAAGAAGCGATGGTTGGGGAAGCAGCATCTCTCACGGTATCAGCTCGAGGCATTTTTTCTACTACGAGGTCTTTCCGGGAGACGGTCAAGAGGCGTGCTTCTTGTGTCCATCTGGCAATAAGTATCGCGCCTCTTGACACGCACCCGGCCTTTCGGGGGAGGGGGGGGGGCTGCAAGTTTTTTCTCTGAGAAAGATGTTAAGCACCAAGCTCCCCTCCCCCGAAAAATTTCGAGATGTTTTCTAATGTTGCCTTCCCACAACTCTGCGCAGCCATCGTTGAGTCAAGCATTCTACTTGAATTCTAATGGGTAGAAGACAGTGGCGTACCCAAAATTCTGGCTTGGGGGAGGGGGCGCGACAAAAACTTTTTCCGATGAAAGTGAAATTTTTTATAAGGCTAAAACGAATTTTTTAAAAATTTTGAAAATTACTATAATTGTACACAAGTGCAGACAAGTCATTTGCGAAATTTTATAACCATGTAAATAACTTTCAAAAATTTCGCGATCGTTCCCGGGGGGGAGGCCCTCGGTACGCCACTGACTTTTCTGAGCATATGCGGTGTTGAATTGAGGAGAATCGACAGTGGTGTATCACGAAATGATCACATTCTACGGTCTCAGGGTTTTATTTGTTGTTGTCTACTCTCACCATCAGTGTAGTTTGAATCCCAAATTTTTATTTTCAGCCTACGGGAAAGTTTTCTTGGCGCGGAAGATAGGCGGCAAGGACCATGGGCAAATCTATGCAATGAAAGTACTCAGAAAACAAAGAGTAGGTTTTCTATGTCTCTTATGGACGACTACTGATTATCTTACCAAAATTTTGTCCCATTCTTGGATTTTTGCGCCTTTTTAAAGTACAAGTCTAGTATCTTAGCAGAATCGGGCTGCTGTGAATTTGGCCGCAGTGGAGTAAGAAACCCGACAAAACCTTCAGGGCTAGGTCCGCCCTTCCACTGTAGGCGCTACCTCAACCCCTCCCCCCAAACAAGCATGGAAATAGGGTTTATCTCGTCGCTTCCGCCCTTCTACGGCCCCTCGCTTCCTCCCTTGTAAGCTTGAAATTGTACACCGCACGAAAACTATACGGATCCCGAACGACTCTGCGTCTCTAACCAGGGGGGGGGGGAAGGTCTCGATGTGCACTTGGCTTCTTCAACATAAAGAGTTTCTGAAAATCTTTTTCGTCTTCGCATTCTCAGGTATGCATTAGAATAAGGGTTGTGCTTATGTAAAAATATAGAAAGTAGAAATACAGAAAAGTTGCTTTTGTTATTTTATCTGTGTTGAAAGACAAACTTTTTCTTGAACAATCAAGTTGTTGGCTGAGACCTTGAAAACTCTGTAGATATGATTGTCAGATTAATGTACGTTAAGTCCTTCATCTCTGATTCAGGTTCTCTCCAAACCAAAGACCTTGGAACACACACTTGCTGAGCGCCAAGTTCTAGAGCGTCTCCGCGGAGTGCCATTCCTTGTGAACCTTTACTATGCCTTCCAGACGGACACTAAGCTGCACATTGTTATGGGTAAGTATCTGTTCCCTTGTTCCTGTCACTAGTTCGGCGTTTCAGAGTACGTCCGCGGTGGTGAACTATTTACCCACTTGTGCAGTCGCGGCTCTTTCGACGTTGCTGCTGCAAGATTCATTATCGCTGAATTAATTATTGCTATTGACAGTCTGCATCAGGTTTGTGTTCACCGTATCTTCCGCTTGAGCTTCTTTTCGTCCTCATCTGTTTTTTATTTACTCCAAAACTTTCAGCGTAAAGTAATCTACCGTGATCTGAAGTTGGAAAACATCTTGCTAGATGAAGAAGGCCATGTGAAATTGACTGACTTCGGTCTTAGCAAACTGCTCGTTTCCGAAGAATTAGATCGTGCAAATTCGTATTGCGGAACTATCGAATACATGTGAGGTTATGCTTTTCATCTTTTGATATTCTAGTCAACCGTTTCTCATTATGTTTTAAGGTCCCCAGAAGTTATCAACCGACCTGAAGGCGGATATTCCGATGTAGTTGATTGGTGGTCGATGGGAGTGATTTCGTTCGAATTGCTTACGGGTTGCAGTCCATTCACGGTTGATGGGGCCGCAAATTCTAGCAAAGAAATTGCTAAGTGGGTTCCTAGAAATTTCACGTCTTTCACAAATTCTGCATTTGAAGTGTTGATTTTTCCAATTTGTCTTTGCGTTTTCGAAAGATTCTCAAGCTTGAATTACAGGCGAATCATATCAAAGAAAGTTCCTTTCCCACGTAACATGGATCCGGACGCAAAAGACTTTATCGGAGCGTTGTTAGAGAAAAAGCTAGAAAAGCGTCTTGGTTATAATGGAGTGGATGAAATTAAAAGGTAAATGCTTGGTTTTTGATTGATTGACACGTACATTATTATTAATGTATGTTGTAGACATCGTTTTCTTCGCGACATTGACTGGAATAAGGCAGCCAATCGTCAACTTACTCCTTTTATTATACCAAATGTTACTCACGAGGTAGCACAGTCTGAATATGACAGTTAAGTTTCGACAACTCACATTTTTAATTTTGACTTGCAGCTCGATGTCCAAAACTTTGCCACTGAATTCACTACCCAGCAACCACTATACTCTCCTGCTGAATCTCCCGTCAATGCAAATACCCTTTTTAGGGTAAGTCTTGAGTTCTTTTTTTGCAAGAACTGCTCGACATAAATCATCTACAGGGATACTCATATATATCACCCTCTGTCATTTTCGCTAACAATAATATTATCGGAGAAGAATTGATGCAAGAAGACATACAGGTGCGTGTTGTTTCATTAACCTCAATGTTTTCTGTTTCAAGCTCTCTCTCAGATATTGTCGTCTATGGTGAGCTCTCTTTAGGCACTTTTGGCAAATTCGTCATTTTTTGGCAAATACAAACTGGATACCACAGAGAAAGGTTATCTGGGCAGAGGATCTTTTTCGGTGGTGAGGTGAATCTTCATTCTATCTCTGAGCATGTCAATATATTCGCTTCGATCGTTTGGAAAGTGTAGAAAGATTCCTCTCCTTTGCTTAAAGCCGCCATGCTTTTTCTGCAGGCGTTGCGAGCGAATAGAAGATGGCGCTACATTCGCTGTGAAGATTGTCTCACAAAGATTTTCCATGCAAGCTCAACGCGAAGCGCGGATTTTGGAATTAGTCAGAGGTAGGTTTTTTCAAATGTCAAAGGTTTCTGTATTTCTCTTGGTTGTTTCTCCGCCTTTTGATCTATTTCAAACTAGTACGAATCGCCATTCACAGGTCACCCAAATATTGTACGTCTCGTTGATGTTCACTCTGATCCACTACACTTCTACATTGTTATGGAATTATTGCACGGACAAGAACTGCTAGCGAGACTGAGAAAATTGGAGAAGTTCACTGAGGTTTGTTGCTTTGCGGACCTGAAGCGGCCCCCTCAATAAACAGCAAAATTTAGGCCGAAGCAGCGGATATCATGCGCCAATTAGTATCAGCAGTTGGTTTTTTGCATTCAAAACGCATTGTACATCGCGATCTAAAACCAGAGGTCAGGTTTTCACTATGTTTCATTCTGAATCCTTAGAAGTTAGGTTGCGCTTATGGTGTCATTATCAGAATTCTATAACGTAAAGCATCATCCGCGAATTTGTGCTAAATTTGACAATGTCATCCTTTTTCAGAACATTTTGTTCGAAAGCGAGGATAGCCATGCTCGCTTGCGGCTGGTCGATTTTGGATTTGCACGATTATTACCAGCTTGTGTCGAACAACAGCTGAAGTCAGTCTATCGGAAAATGTACGCGTAGCCAGCCGACCCACCACGGCACTTTGGAGTAACCAAGCCACCTGACATGTGCCGTATTCTGTCCTGTTTCCTAACTCATCAAACCAACAAATCTCGTTTCCAAGAACAGAGACGGTTACGGCTGCGTGTTTGGCGAAGCAGGATTGTTAGCACGATATAGTGTTTGTTGTGACGTAGTGGGTAGTTAGGTCGGAGCAGTGTTGGTGGAACAAAGCGAGAAGGTTTTTTGCATCTTATCCATTATCGTACTATGATGGTTTTGTACTTCGTTTAGTTACTTCGGTTGTATTAGGTTAGTTTTCTTTGAGCGCCTATCTCGCTTCTTTGCTGCTCATGCCTACGTACCGTATATTTCTGTTTGTCCCGCTAACTTGCTCCGATGCTATGGTTGGTTGCGTTTTGTTTCAGTTTGGCCGTTCCTCCCACGACTTGCTCTCACCTTCGTCTTGCTAAAAACTAGTAGCTCTGTTAGTGGCACTGTTTCAGGACACCCTGCTTTACCCTACAGTATGCCGCACCAGAGGTTCTGGACCTTGGTGATACCCTTCCCGAGTACAACGAACAGTGCGATTTATGGTCATTGGGTGTTGTACTGGTAGGTTGCTACGTTATATCCATATTAAACATTTTTGTCATTTGGTCGCGAAGACGGTCAATTCGCCATGAGTTTCTAGTTGGCACTTTAGTTCACGATGCTGTCCGGACAAGTACCGTTCCATGCTAGATCGAAAACCGAATCTGCTACAGAAATCATGCACCGGATAAGAAAAGCCGAGTTCTCCTTTGAGGGAAACGCTTGGAAAGCTGTGTCGACTGAAGCTAAGCAACTGATTAACGGTGAGTGACTTGGTGGTGATGATTCTGATTTTTTGCTTATCTATTTGTGTTGTTTCAACCTATCCTTTTTTACGCAAAAGTTGTAGTTAGACTGCCATAATTACAGTAGTCGTATTTATCGCACACTTTATACAGGGGTCAATTTGATTGTCACAGTCGACGTGGTTCAAGTCATTACGAACCGTCTCGCCTGGATCTCTCACGTGGTAAAATATCGCATCCACTAAGGCCTTCGCGGTAGCGGATGCGGTATTGTACCATGTGAGAGACTCGAACGAGGCGGCTCTTGAGGATCCAACACGTCGACTGTGACACTCAGATTGAAAATCCATGTAGATCTTCTATGTACCAGTGCTGCGGATTTTCGGCACGAATTCTGTTTCAGGTCTGTTGACTGTGGACCCGAAGAAAAGGTTGTCAATGCAAGAATTGTCACGACATGCTTGGTTGAACTCGTCTGCATCTCTCGAAACGCCGCTGCAAACGCCCAATGTGCTGCCCTCATTCGCTGGCGAGTTTCATGTTCCATTTGCATGCATGCTATGCAGCGCAATTTCTAATTTGTTTACTGCTGTGCAGGAGAGACGTTCAATGAAACCCTGCAAGCGTTCCTCACAGCGAATCGCGACGGATTCCATCTCATGGAAGTTGATGCTGCGCCTTTAATGAAACGAAGAGGATTGAAACGACAAAGTGCAGAGAAAGAAGCTAATGAAAAAGCTTCTAAAAGGTAAATTTTTGCTTCTTTCTTGAATGAATGGAACAGGTAAACAATTCTGTTTGGGAAAGTGCCTCTTTATATCACTTATTTTTGGTTTTGATTTACGATTGATGCTGTTCAGGGTATTTATGGGCTAGGAGATCCGAAACTACACGCGTTTACGGACTCAAAATCTTGAACCTCTCTTTCTTTGATGGAATCGTTTTGAATTTTTAGCTACACAAACATGATTAGGGTTCCGCGTACTCTGTGTGCGAATTCTGCAATTTCTAGATCTCTTAATTTGCGCGCTTCACGGATAACTCCCATAATGTGAAGCGCGCAGATTCCTACTTTACAAACCAAGGCTCGAGAACTGGGTGAGTACCCTTTTCTAGCTTTTGTTTCTTATTTCGCTCAGCTCCTTTCTACAACACCATAAAACGTCAACGACTTATCCGAACATTTTTTGATTGAATTTCGTCAAACAAGATTGGGCAAATTTGACTCTCTCATTTTGTTTTAGATACGATTATTTGTTGGCTGTTATTGCAAAAGTTTTACAAAATGTCACAATTGCGATTATCAGCGAGTGCAATTTTGTTTTGTTGTTTGTATCCTGAATTTATTCATTGGTTAAGTCGGGCGATTACATCTCTCAGTTATATCAGTTATACTTATGTTGTTGCGAAGGAGCTGAGAGACATCGAAAATTAGAAAAGCTACGAAGGAGTACTCTGTCATAAAGCCAGAACTTCCACGCCGTGACGGATAAAAAGAGATCCAAAGGGAATTGGAATCACGAAAAGTGCGGCCGAACGCATATGGGTCTCCTAGTTCTTAAAAACCTTACAGCTACTTAGTTCCGCCGCATGCTGATGCGAGGGAGAACGAATGTTCGCCACTTTAATTGCTGTTTTATTTCCTTCGTAGGGTTTAATTTTGCATGAATTTTTACTAACCTCATAACCGATTCATTCTTTTCTTCTTTAGTCCTTGTTTTTTTTTTCAAACAAAATAGGTATACTAGCGTTGCAAAATATTGTACAAATGCAAGTAGATTGGATGTTTGGCTCTGCAAGAAAAAAGAGACCTTTATAGCATTTTCTGCCGTCCTACATCTGTTTTCTTTATTTCAATAATTAGGTATTTCTTGCTTTACTTCCGTTTGGCTTGAATTTCCATCCTAATTGTCCAAGCTCGACCGTCGCTCAATCTCGGCATTGTTTGATTGCGGGGATGATTCCATCCTAATGTAATAAATACAGTTAAACACTTCAACAATATCAAATTTCCAAATCTCTTGCTATAAACTTATAACCTATTAAGAAATCCTATCGCCGTGCTTTGTATGCTGCGCTCGCCAAGGGCCAAAATGTCTGGTTTACAATAGCTAGGCACCAACTCGTACGGGAACATGAGCTCGCTTTCGTTTGAAGTAACTATATCAGGGTAGACTATACTTATAAATCATGTATTCTTGAAAAAAAAAACAGAATAAAGTTGCGGTATGGAGTAGGACGTTATTCCATAGTCGTCTGAGTAGCCGCTCGCGCACAACATTTTGCCTGTGTCCATGAGTTCATGCCTTAGGTACCATCTTTTTGCATGCTTTGCGCGTCTTTGTTTTAGACTTCCAAGGGAAGGATGTTTGGTCAAGTGGACTTTTGAGATGAGATCATGGAATGCATAAAGCTGATTCCAAATCTGTCTTCCTTATCTGTGGAGCGCTTTTGAGCGAAGAGATATGAGAGTTTGTAGGTGTCAAAAATTCAATGAGCAATTGAAGTAAAATCGCTCGTTAAAGTTTCTCTAACTCAAATAAGACATCGGTGAATGTAGCTCTACTCAAACTGGGAGTATTTAGTGCCTGAAATGCCCTGACAATCATCACTGCTACATTTGAGCTCTAGGTAGAGTAGTACGAGAGTAGTAGTGGAGCGATTTTATCCAGGTGGCCATTCGATTTTTTGCTCTGTTAAACTCGTAACTCCTCGTTCATAAACGCTTCGCGAATAAAGAAAACAGATTTGGAATCGTTCTATGCCATCTAAAATGGTAGCAACTCATCTCAAAAGGCCACTGTGCTGAAGATACTTCTCTTGTTATTTGGATTTGTATCCGCAATATGGCGACGTACAGGCACCGTAAAATCAATTGCCCACGCGTTGCTTTGAACGCCAAGGCGCGGCGCGGCTGGGAACGTTTGGTCCCGAAGCGCTACAGGCTTTCGCGAGCGACAATGAGCGCGCACCCTTTCCACACATATTTTTTTAAACTTGTGAAGGGAGCTTTCGTCAAGATATACCTTGCATTGACGAGAACAATATGAAAGCTAAAGAAAGATTTTCTGGAATATAGTGAACGCCGACAGTCGTTCGCGACGACCGCTCGCTTACGCTGGTGTTCAAGGCACGGCGCGAGCAATTAGGTTTTACGGCGCCTATAAGTGTAATCGAGTAGATTTTCCGTTTTGAATAAATTTGCACACGCAAATAAGGGCAGCACAGGATATTTGTCTACTAGCTACTTGTCGTAGCTATTTGTCTTCGCGCAAGTTTACCACATTTTCTCGGTGAATCTACTTGATTCTACAGACTGTTCCAATCCCAATCAGGCCAAAATTGGCATGGCGGGAGTCCGTGTCGCAAAGTTTTTGCGTCACGTATGCGTCTAGCTTGTCTGCTCTCTCTCTCTCTCTCTCTCTCTCTCTCTCTCTCTCTCTCTCTCTCTCTCTCTCTCTCTCTCTCTATCTCTTTAATCTCTTCGCTCTCCCCAGCAGCGCGCAAATGCAGCACAAATTCCACGCGCTGCGAGGGCGCAAATCTTCGTCGGAACGGTTCGGCCTGAACCCGATTGAAACAGAGTGTAAATATCATTGACTCCCAGTATAGAACTGGTGCACTCTTGTGGACGTGGTTCGCTACTAATAAACTTGACAAACCGAAATCTACTTCTATCTTTCAACATTGCGTCGCCTGCGTCGCGTGTCTATCCAAGATTCTTCCCCCGTGGGCGTGCCGTAGTTCAATTACTGCATGCTTTTTGGCTCAGTGGGTTTCGTACGGTCGCAGCGGATATTCTGCAAAGATTTACTCTCTCGAATGAAGAAATATGCGTTGCGAATTAATCTGTTGACTGTGAACAAATTTTTCAAGGGAGCTCTAATCTCCCTCTTTTTGATCCCTGATTCGTGGGAGCTCTTTCGATCGAGTATCTGGTTAGTTTTTAGCTGAGGTTTGACTTACTAATGTTTGTTCTTGGGTTATTTGAGAGGACTCGATAGTCTCTAGCCTTGCTGAGGAAAGAACTTACAGCTAAACGTGCTTCCTGTGGAAAATGAATACAACTAAACCTGCTATCTATGGAAATTGAATCGCCCTCGTGCTCTCCTTTTAGCCAAAATTCTCGGATTTTCCATACTTTCAGTACGGCAATGTTTTTTCCTTGCATACTCTCTGTGTTCAAGAAAGCATGCAGTTGTTTTTTAGAGTAGCTGCATTTGAAACAGTCCCAGAAGAGCATTCAACGAACGCTACGCTACGTCCGACGCACTTGGGCATGATTTCGCCGGACGTGATGATGAACTACCGAATCCCTCCAGCAGGAACCATTCGCGACACCCGTGGCTCCGATTCATCGTGATTTACGGGAAGTTCCACTCTGGTGGGAGGTCTTACTGTTTCTCGTTTCTGTATCCATCTCTGTTTTCCTTTCGTAGACTTCTGTACATACACTGTAATGCAATCCTGCCTGTCTGTTCTCCCAATATCACTTTGAGATTCGAAGTCAGTTTAGGCAGTGTGCTCTAGTGATTTAGTGATTTTCACGTGTTCGCGTTCGTTGTAGGCGTTGCAGCTATTTTTTTTCGCAAAAGGGCAGACCGTTCGTTGTCGGTGTTAAATTATTGATTTCGTCTAGACGTCTAACGTAAGATTCACTTTCCTCCACAGCTAACTAGTTCACGCATTTTCTAGTCAAGTAAGTGGATGTTTTTGTATATATTTGTTACTTTCGTCCATACAAATCATGACGAATGTTGCATTTGATGTAATGAGTCGAGTTATAGATCTGTATTATTTCCTTTGAATGTGATCGTATACTCAATCACCTGCAAGGTTACTAGTAATCATATTGTTCACCCTGATTTTGTCTTTTTTCTCTTTTTTTTTGTTATTCTGTAGAATCAAACATGCGAGTTCAAAGTTGTTGGCATATCCTCTAGATATCATTGCATGACTCACAATATTTTTCCTTACAAATTTATTGTCTTGCCATACATATGAAGATTTCTATGCTCGCATTAGATGATGTTTAATCAATCCCGCAACGGTAGATATGCCGTTTATGCTGTGAAGCTGCTGCTTTCCGTTGTACAAAGATTTATGTCATTGAATATTTATTCATTGATTAATACAATTGAAGTTCAACTAAAGTATGCCTTTGGCAACTAATGCGCTATGAACTCGATAAATAGGCAAGCCAACAACATTGCTGAAACATCCGTGTATAGCACGTACAAAAACTGCACCATATTCTTGAATTCCGTACGAACCAGCCCGAGTCCTGGAATAAAAATGGTATATTTTTCTACAAACAATGTACCAAATGAAAACTGGGAACATTCACAGTGCATTACACAAGTCTTTGCAATTTGTTGTTTTAATCTCACATAGTTTGTTTTCTAGTTATATATTAGGTCGTTCCGAAAGTTATTTCGCGTTTATTTAGCAAGAGCCCATTCCCGGAACAAAAAATTTAGGAAATATTGGTAGCGCTCGATGTGGTTTTTCGTGAAACAGCTGTCACATATTGCAGTACATCGACTCGCAGAAAATTACCAAAAACTACGTCCCATGAGTAAGCCTTCTAAAAGTAGGTGGCTTAGGATAAAACCTATCGAAAAATTATGGCAAGTATGGGCAGAACCCTGTAGGATTGCCCAATTCACTCGTTATTTGGACTTCCGTTTTTATAAGAATTCAGGAAAATAGCGAAAATGAACTATGGCAAATGGGTGCAGTTTTTGGTACTTTCCAAGAGATTGTTAGGTCAAGTTGCAATTTGAAAAAAAAGTGCTAACATAAGAAGCATGAAAATGCGCATCAATAGTAGTGCGTGTCATAGTCTTTGCTCCGCAGAACGTGGCATTTGCTCGAAAGCGAATACTTCGAAACGACCTATAGGACAAATTAATGGGTTTGATTGTTATTTATGGTGCATCGCTAAGAATTTTTCCCATATGAAGCCAGCGGGCTGTCTTTCGATCATTTTGACATGTCAGCTTCGAATGAGCGCCTCAGATTTGCTGGATTTAACGTGTTAGTACGATCGAAAGGCAGCCACGTTGATGGTTCATATGGAACAATGTTGGGGGATGCACGGTATGTTGGGTTGGTTTTCGTTATATAGACCGGGCATATGTACATTACGCGATTTCATCGCCCCGATTCTCCTAACAAGACAACTGTTGCGACCATTGCATGCCGATAATTTTGCATTTTGGTTGTAACAGTTTTCCAACACGACTAATCGAGGCTATGTCACAACCGAAATGCAGGATGACCGGCATGCAATGAACTGGTACATATATAGCATGTCTTGAGGATCGCGAGGAAATGAAATCGCGTGATGAGAACGCCTGCTGTGATCGTTCTATGACGAGGAAAGTGATCTGTGGTTGCTTACCGAACAACTATGATTCACGGTCAACAGTGGGCGGATCCAGACGGAGGAAACCGAGGACACGTGCTTCCTGCTCTCGGGTCCGTCACATGAGTGCATGCTCGTTCGTGACAACTTGAATTGATTGGAAAGACCTTGTGTTTAGCTAAGGGGCGTATTTAAACTTCTTCTGTTGGCTAAGAAGGCTCTATGTTCCCAAGGTTCTTTGACTTGCTTCTCTTCATGCGTGTAGCTTTTTTAGTTATCGGGTATGAGTTTCCTTTAGGTTTTATTTACATCTTAAATTCACTCGGTGGGGACTCTAGAAGGAAATGAAAGAGAAACATTTTTGCCATGCCTTGTGTTATCAAAAAAGACGCATGCTTTTCCCAGTTTTTCAGTCATTTTCTGCTAGAGCATCGTACGACCAGAGCGCAGAAAGTTCCGTATATTCCAGTCTTGTTCGATCTGTGCTTAGAATCCCAAGTTGTTGCATTTGAGAGCGCTTTTGGTTGGGTCTCAACAACTTCATAGTTTAATGTCAAAGGCTCAAAATTCCGTTACCGAGATTGGCGTATACATAAAGTTAGTCAAAACTGTATGTGCAGAACTTGCTAAAATTAATTTTTTTAAACCGAGTTTGCGATTCATTTGATCACTTTTGTTGAAGCCATTAGATTTCCAATTTTTTACGAACATGTCCCGTCAAACTTCCCCACAAGTCACAAAGGTATACTCTCCGTCAGGAGAGAAGCTCACAATATCTTTTGGTTACTTGCCGTCAATCAATGCGCTGTGCATCTGCACTATAGTTCTTATCTTAAGTCCAAGCTATAATAAATCACGAAGTCGGGGTGCTTTCGAAATAGTAAGAAAACAGAGATCACTTTTACGGGATTGAATCTGAATTTTTTTAAAGCTTGCACTATCTAGTCGAAAGTAAAATCAAAATAGTGAAGTTCAGGTCGTGCATGTTATATTCTGATTTCAGCCTAATTTTGGAATAACAATGAAGGTTTCTGGAATACCCACAAAGGTTCCCCGCTATCAACGTATTGCTTAATTATCCTATCCGGGTAGTCTCCGAATTCAACGCGAGTTTCCTCAGTGAAGACCTCCTCGCTTCCATCCGAGTAGCCTAGCGCTACTCCCGTGTATACTAAATGTTCTTTCCCTCGAAGTCTGAAATTTTCAGCATTCAAATATGTAAACAACATCAGCGCAAACCTCTGTAATGTTCGAAAGGCGTCTTTTGCATCCTCCGGTTTCCCCACAATCTCTCCGTCAAAATATATCACTGTATCTGATGCGATGATAACGTCGTACTTCTCCTGCATAATAAGTTCGAAGTTTCCCATATAAAGCTTATTAGAGAACTCACATTGTTCCTTTTCATCTCTTCGACTACGGTGTGGAGTTTTCCAAGTGCTGTTTTCTCGACAAAATCACGTACAGGAAGTGATTTGGGCAAGTTTTCTTCGAAATTCGACACACGCACTAGTGGATTCTTTATACCCTGGAAATTTTGTTTTTTGCAACAGTTTCGAGTTTTGATCTTGTACTTTTTGTTTATTCCGTTTTTTGTTGTTGTACTTAGACTCTCCTTCATACTTTACTTCTAGGTTATCATCAATTAACAGTTGTTCGGTGTCTCCATGCGCGCCCCTCCCTTGTACTAAAGGTAATCATTTGATGTTCTACACTCCCCCGGTGTTGAAATATCTAATGAAATCCTCTGATTTGAACATTTTGAATTTTGTTCCTTTTCCGAGTATGTGATATTACGCAATCATGCTACCCAAAGTGCTTAGGAATGGTCCGCGGATATGTGACAGTGATACTAGAAAATATCTTACTGCCCCCGCTGCGGAAGTGCCGTTGGAAATGCACTTGTTAGCTTGCGTGCGCGATTTCGATTTTGTGTATCTACACATCAGCGCAGATCTCTGAACTTCTGAGGAGGGACTAAATCCACTATTAGCTGCAGCTTCCGCAGACTACTACTGCTCCTCACACGGTATGCACATTGATGAAAGGGCCCGTAGTCAGCGGAGGAGGTGCCTATCGGCGGAATTAGTTCCTCAACTAAGATTTCTGCTCAAAAATGTGAGAAAAGTTTTTCATCGATAGGTGAAACCGTTTTCAGTCTCACTGCGCTACCTCATTTTCTCTTCTTCGATATATTCTGCCATTTTTTGAACAATACGAGAAATTCATTGAAGTACTTTCAGAAGTAACTCACTATCTGCCTCATGAGTTTGAGTCGATTAGGCGATTGGCTGGCGAGCACAACGATGGCTGGTGTTAGCGGAGCTTTACCATCGGTTGACGTGGACATGCTGCTGCGAAGAGCACTTGTATTCAGCAAACTGTTCACAAAAAGCTGGGGACATCCGAATACGTTTAGGGAGTGAGTTATTTGAAAAATGACATGTTCGAGAGCAATACGACCTGCACGACGTGTTATAAGCAATAGAAGAGAATGGAAAGTTTTTGAGCAACTTTTCGGAGTACTTCAGAATTGAAGATCCTGGGTAAAACAAAAGTTATCTTGAATATCATCATCCAAATTTTTGCGTATGGACAGCTAGCATTATTGAAAGCAAAAAAGGAGCGAAAACGGAAAGTGGCATTGTTTTCAGTTTTTTTTTTTGTTTTTCGGACTACTGTAGAGTAGAAGAAGCCTCTAGTGATTTTTGTTCTTGCAGGAACTTAGTTTAAAAGGTTGTAGATTACATATCTCTACATCTTTCGAAATTTTTTTTTGATTTTTTAGAGTTTGGAAGATCCGTTGAAGTGATAATCTAAAGTTATATGTCCAAACTTTCTCGAAATAACTTGTTTTAGACTGATGAAACACAAAGCTGAGGTCATGTCTCAACGTCGAGCTGAGGAAGTTTGGAAATCATTGAAAATGAATATGATCATAGAAAAGGTAAGCTGAGTTATGGCCAATAGATGGCTACATCGCTAATGATATAATAACAATTGGGTCACCTTATTCCTCGAGGGAATATTTGACGTAATTTGTGTCAAGCACGCATGTAAATTATCAAGAAAAATTTTTGTATATCTGTGTATAACAGTTACGAAATGTTGATTAGAGACAACACTCAGTTCTCGTAATTTTGGAGATCATTCTTTCAGGAACAACTAAGTCGAGGGATACGGGTTATAGATGGCCGTTTTCGCAGTCCCCATGCTATGGTCTATCCTAATCAGATGCCTGGGTGTTTGCAATGGGCTAAGTTCAGGGCTTATCTACCAGCTGTACAACGAAAAGGACTTTGCATCCATTTGGCTGGGACTGGTGACCATTCCTATCTCAGGTACATCTTGTTTACTTTTTGTCTGTGCTTTCCGAATTTATTTTATAATTAGTGCGCTTACGAGGTAAGCTATCTGATGTTTTAGCTTGAGCTAGAAATTTCAGGCGTGAGTTGGGATTTACCAAAGGACTGTTAGAGGAAGGTATCGGCTCAATTCTTCTTCAAAATCCCTATTATGCTGATCGCAAGCCTCCGTCGCAGTTCCGGTCTTCGCTTGAGAATGTTTCCGACCTTTTTGTTATGGGAGCTGCGCTGATCTCTGAATGTAATTATTTGATACACTGGGCAAAGTCAGAAGGTTACGGGCCATTAGGAATATCGGGGGTGAGTTGTTGTGAAGACAAATGCTGTATCCTACACTTACCTTGTCAATCTTCAAGGTTTCTATGGGTGGATTTATGACTTCTCTAGCAGCTTCAAATGTACGAGAGCCAATAGTGGTGGTTCCATGTATGTCATGGACTACAGCCGGACCAGCTTTTACCGAAGGTACTTTTTTGCCTTATTTTTCCATCATTTTTCATTTTTCTTCTCAGGTGCACTACGGAAGGCTATCAATTACGAACGACTTCAGCAGCTGGTTGAAGATCGCTCGTATCTGGAAGAGCTTCGCAGTATACCTAACCAGAATTGGGTTGATGAGATGGTGAGAAAGATACTGTTCCGTAATCTGGACTTGTTTTCAAATCGCGTTCATTTTCAGTATGAGCGACAAAAAAGGAACGGACTTGGGTTGGCGCATAATATGATGTGCATTCTTATGGACGAATTTACATGCTTACGAAATTATCCCGTGCCAGTGGATACTTCCTTATGTACAGCTGTTGTGGCAGAAAAAGATGCCTATGTTCTACGTTCACATGGGCCAGACTTTAGGGTTAGTTATCGAATAGATCATATCTTGTAAAAGTTGGAACTTCAAATTGTTGTTGTGTTAACACTCTGATGACACAGTTGCTACGACTGTGTCATAAGAGTATGGATTGTGATCAGATTATAGAAATGACAATATGATTGCGCAAAAAATGCGTAATTTTCATGTGATATATTGTTCAGTAAAAATCTTTCTCTACAAATCCTTTTTTCCCATTAATTGCCAAGTTTTTTTTAGCAAGTTTGGCCTGGAATGCGAGTTCTCGAGCTGGATCGAGTGGGACACGTAACAGCTTATCTTCAACGTCATCATGTTTTTCGAAATACCATCGCGGAGCTTATGCATCGTGCGGAAGAAGCAAAACGGTCTAGGAAAGAGTCAAATTGATTGCAGATTTGTTGTTATAGTATTTTCTGGTTGTTTCGAGTTTTTCTTTTAGAAGGGTTGTTGTAGAACATAGAAGAGTATATCAAAATTTCTACGGTGTCTTGCAAGATTTTCAAAATCTTTCAGAGCTCGACGCTAATTTTTGTCGTAAGAATGTACCTTAACTTATTCCTCGTTGTCTTTCTTGGTCTTACTTGAACATAGTCATTTTCGATACTTCCGCATTTTCTCTTACAAAATGCATGCAAATCAGGTCAGTAGTGCTCAGTTTCAATGATGATATTATGAATATTTCGAAGCGTTCTTTTCGCATTTGTACACTATGCAATAATACAAAAATAGCTTTATATTCACTCTAACCTAATAACACACGATGCTGACAGTCTCAATGTAAAACATGCCTAATATATCGCAATGACTTCATAAAACAATCAGGATTGCTCTGAAATGTAATCCATTGAGAATCTGCTAAAACAATTCCTGTCAACTTGTAAAATGGAAACGAGTACTAGAATACTAAGGCAATAAAATCTTCTCATTGGTCTTTGGGAGGCTTACGTCCCTTGAGCGACTCAAATATGATCTTCTGAGACTTAGTGAATGACCAGACGTATCGTTTGCCGTAAATCACGATCGCCGTAAGGAATGGTAGCAACACAAGGACCTGAAAATTATACATCAAAATAGAGACGTTTGATCGAGTTCAGCATGGACAACACCTTCAATTAGAACAGTACACTAACAGATATCGGCTTGTCAGTCGTCATTCAGTGAAACAAACGACCATATACTAACAAGGGAACGATTCCAACTCAAGGTGGCGAACTGGAATGAACCGCATATCATCAGATGCGTCTTTATGAGCTGATTCCAAATTTACCTTTCATACCAGCGATGCCTTTATCTGGAAAAAGTCATGAGCGGTTGAAATTATGAAGTTATTGGGGTTTCAATGCATCATGTGCTTTAGAATCCAACCTGGTGCACTAGCGAGATTGAGTGTACTGACTTCGAGGATTGCTCACAATTAAAAAACACAAACAAGTATTTTTAAACAACTGAAAACCACTAAAGTTCTCCGATAAAAGCTAACGAACAATGAGAAGTCCAGATAGGCAAATATAAGCGCCATTCCTCAAGAATGAGTTGATCAAAATACTTCATGTTTTCATTGATTATGAACATCCCTTGAATTCAGTACACTCAATATCATGCTAGTCAACTACCAAGTTGGATTCTAAAGCACATTATGCATTGAAACCCCAATAAATTCACATTCTCAACCGTTCATACTTTTTCCAGAGAACGGCATCGCAGATATGGAAGAGAGATTTGGATTCAGCTCATCAAGACGCATCGGTATGCGGTTCATGCCAGTCTGCCACCTTAAATTGAGATCGTTCCCTTGTAAGAGGCTTAACTGAGAGCGTACACTGAACTTCAGCTGAGGAGTCCGATCGAATGGATGAGTGTAGAGGAGTAGTGTAGCTCGTATTTTAAAAGCGATGAAAATGTAACTATTCGACGAATTGATATTTAGCTCTATTGCCTCTCAGTGATTTTGCGTAACTTCCAGAATGAAAGGAAACTTGCAGATCGCCTACACTTCCAGTTATAGAAAGACTGAATAAAAGGAAGAAAGAATTCAGGCCTCGAGGACGGTAAAGCATGTACGCTTGGGAACTAGCTAAGCTTTGCACAGATTTGGTGTGGCAACGAACACAACCTCTTGTGGGATGGGTATCAAGAAGAAGAGGATTTATCAAACGAAAATTTAGATAGGGGAGATAACTGATTATTGGTTGATTACGTTTCAGAATGGAAACCAAGGCAAGAAAAGTTGAGTTTTTTTCAACCTTGATACCCAAACGAAATGCGCTATATCATCTATATCTATACCCCCCTCAAGTCTTTTGAGAACAAAAGGTAAAAAGATAAGCAAACATTAGGAATCCAAAAAGGAGAGAAAGAACGTTGTATAAGGAGCACAACTAATGGCTTACACTTTCTAGATCTTGCTGCCATATACTTACCTTCAAGGCCCATCTCTTTCGCGTATCATGGTAGGGTTCTGCGGCCCAGTGCATGAAGGTAGCGACATCTTTGGCTTGTTGTGACTGGGTGGCTGGTGTGCCATCCTATAAAAAATGAGAAAGATGACCGAAATTAACACAAAACATATCTTAGCGTATTAGTTGCTAAGCAAAGGAGAAAAGTAAAAAAAGGTGAAATGCATCGTTGTGTAAGATTTACATGATTCTTCGAAGATCGCTTCTTTCTCTACTGCGAAACAGAAACGCAGTAAGAATATTGGTGCAGCAAAAAACGTGAAGATTGTTCCACCACTCTCAACGCCCACGAAAAAACCACTGCTGATAATCGACCAAAAAAATGATCACGATTTTAGTCACAAGATACATTATTCCCCTGGGACTTACTAACCAGGGTTGAAACACGCGTTTGTCGTGTCCTACTAGTGTGAATAACAACACACAGTATGAACACTTTTACACGACATCCGCTTTTAAAAACTGGACTCTTCTACGACGTAAAAGCGGTTGAATATTAGTGAGGCAAATCCCTACCTTGTATTCAATTCCTTCATCGTATAGTTGCTGAGGCATAGATATGACACCTCCTGGGAAGTATGGATTGTATGCCTTACCATCATCTACCTGAAACAAGTAATAAACCTTGCTACAGAGCATACGAAACATAAAATAAAGCAAATCAAATTAATCTAAAGAGTAACCTGTATTACAAGCAAATTTAAAAAAAAAATTTTTGCGAGGAAAGTAAACATAATAAGAATAAGTCGATGGGATAGATATACCTTCATTCCAGCTGGAGGTTCGAAATATCCTGTTAGTAGTGCGAAGATGTAGTCATCACCACCATGTCTAGCTAAGGCCATCAGTGACAGATCCGGGGGTGCGGCACCTAATTTTGTACATTCAGATGGAAATGAAAGTGAGCGCCACATAATAACTGTGTGGGACCTATGTCCGCGCTATCCCTCAAACACCAACATGCGCAAGCGGGTGCCGAAAAGGGCTAGGGAAGGTTCCCTCGTAGATCCAAAGATACTCTTATTTTTCTTGTCACTATGTTGAAGTTGCTCCAAAGGTTTCGTAAGAATTGAATTTACGCATCCTACAAAGCGATAGCTCACCATTGTTAGCTGCTGCTGCTGCCTTCTTATTAGGATATGGAGCGGGAAGTTTATCTGTGAGGATACCCGGTCGTTGAATTGCTACTCCCTTATCATCGACATCATTGATGAGGGCTTCAGCAGCCTCAGCCTTTGCTTCCTCCTGAAACTGATTGGATAAAAACAAATTTTGAAGTTAATGCACAATGAAAAATTAATCTATAATCAAAGAAGCAATAAGTAGTAACCAATATATCTACAACTTGCCTCAGTCATAAAAGTATCAACAAAATGTCGGTAGTGAATGAACCTCATCGAATGGCATGCCGCGCACACTTGTTTGTAGACTTCATAGCCTCGTCGCACACTGACAAAAACAAAAATAAATGTTGAATGGGGGAAAATATTTCGAAGTCGAGAAAACTACAGCGTCCCAGACAAGAACGCTCAATGGATCAGATCTCGCAGAATCGAAAAGCGTGTCTTGTAGAAAAAACCAATTCTGCAGCTTCCTCTCGAATTTGTACAGCGTCGCTAAGGAAAACGACAGATTGTGCAAAAACAAAGAGAAAGGCAGAAAAAACTCAGGCGATTTGGAAACTAGGCGCTCTTCAAGTTGGCATAAATCCGACTATAATCAGAAAAAGATTCGACAAAGTTCCCTAAAAAGACTTATACACATCACAGCCAACATAAAGTGCTTACACCTACAGATCAAACTGACCTAGTTTAGTGGGTTTTGTAGCAAGCTTACGCAAACATTTTCCGATTCAAACTGTTTAACTCATCAGATCAAACAATACCCTGATTTCACGAGTACGAGACGCATTTTTTTTTCGATTTTTCAAGCGAGCCGCTCAGCCGCGTCGTTGTGTTTCGGAAGACGAATCTTATGAAGCACGATACTCGCAGATGATGCGCAACACGGTATTCTCCTTTAGTCGCAAAATTTGGTGTGTTCAGGCTGGACGAGTTCAGAGAAAAAAACAGGTGCGCCTTGCACTCTTGAAATCGGGGTATACTTGGGATAAATGGTTGCGAATTGAAGACGACGTGCGTTTTAACAACTTCGGATGCTTGTCTTTAATAATCAATATCAACAGCGCTGAAATGGGATAACTTGTGTTTTGGGTAATGCTAAGTCAATTTATGGGTCGGGAAAGTGATCAACACATTCCCTCCAAAATTCATGACGAAGACCAAAATTGGAAATTCACAAGCTCTACGACAGCATGCAACTCGTGTGCACTACCTGTTTGAAGAATCTGAGCTGATAGGCGTACAGCAGGCATATGCTAATGTTTTCTTAATATAAATTTTTACTCTACTTCAAAAACAAAGAAACTTTTGTTACATGGATATAAAACATGGAAGGACAGAAAAACTAAAGGGCAGTATAATGAAAGAAAAACAGCATCAAATCTAAATGAGTTGGTGGTACGATATATATAGAACTCACGAGGCAATATCGAAAGATTTGAAGTTTCCTGTATGTGGCCACTTCAACGGGTACGGATGGACGCAATCGTTGCTAGCATGGACCGAGTTTTCCAGTGCATAAATCAAACCTCCACCAGCAACCGCAACACCGGCAGCCACAGCTCCGAACTTCTAAAAAGAAAGCTTTGAATGTAAATTCGCTTATTATAATATACCAGTGCGTCAACTCTGCTTCGCAGAGGCTCGCACTGGCTCTTCTATCTATATGACATACTCATTCCCGCATAACATGGCATTGAAACATACCGCGCAATGCCCTTCACGAATGAAACGTAAACAACCACTCATTCCGAAAGCTTTTTCGTGTGAGATCGGTATTTTGCGTGGATGAAACTTTGGAATATGAAGAACATATGCAGAATTAAAACCTTTTGAATTTTTTCATGGTTTGGTAGTCGCCATAAGGATAATATCCACGGCGAGCCACATCCCAATGCAAAAATCTTCTCAAATGCTCAGGTAAAAACCTGGCAAGTTGGCCATTTACGCAAATATGTTTTAGCACCTTTTTCGTGGGGTAATAGACTTCCATCAATTTTTGGGCTAAAGATCACGGCTTGCCATTCACTTGCCAAACATAAGCACGACTTTGCAATAAGGGGTAATACGGACCCAATATTGCGCGTCAGACGTTAAGTGGATCCGTTTGCGGTGCGATTTTTGAGGGACCTACTCAGTGGATCTATTCGTGCTTTGGCATGGTGAATTTGGATGGTGGCAGTGCGTGTTGTGCAAAAAATTGCGGCTTGAAACCTTGTCTGTGACTCGTTCTGTGAATTTCGTTACAGACAGACAGACAGACAGACACACAAATACACATAAACACCCTTAGCCCGTTATCATGAGTCATGATTCTAGACAACAAACACATTCCAGAACTAGGTAATCATTCTTATCTCTTTCAACCCAATGCGCTCCATAGCATTTGCAAATGATAAGAAGTCGCAAGGGAGAGTGGATAGCCGTGAGCGGTCAAAATATTCGCTCTGAGAACATCTCATCTACTAAGCGGCGAATTGACCTGCTATAGGTATCACGTTTATTCCACATCCTTCATTTCCAAACAGGCTCTTTAATTTTTTCAAAAGCATCGAAACCAATATTGTAAAGGCTAGTCCTACGAAAGGGGCTGACCATTGAGCGAGGCGCGCGAGAGTAGATGGTAAAAATGCTCACGCGAAGTTCGCGCTTTGGCACGCGACATTCCTAATCCACTTCATCCACTTCGCTATTGGTCTAATCAGTGAAGTGACCAATAGCAAAGCGGATGTCCGTCCACCTGATCCACTTGATCCGCTTCATCCATCTCGGTATTGATCAGTTCGCTAATTTGACCTATAGCGAAGTGGATGAAGTGAATCAAGTATAGCGTGTACAGTCTGCCCCAATCCCAACCAGGCCAAAATTGGCATGGCGGGAGACCGCGTCGCTAGGGTTTCGCGGTCACGCCCACGGCCTGCTTCTCTGCCCTCCCTTCACTCTTTTTGCTCTCTCCAACAGCACGCACATGCAGCGCAGACCGCTAGCTCTGCGAGTGCGCAAATTTACGCCGACGGTTCGGCCTGATCCCGATTGGAGCAGACTGTACCTTTGACATAACCCGACTGCCTTCGTCGCGGATCAGCCTTTACTCAACGCATTCACCAACATGAGAGAGACTCGGTGGATGTAATCTCTATATAAAAATAATCTCTATATATATAAAACAGAAAATCTGTGTTTGTGTGTCTGTGCACATTTTCCATAGTCCTGAAGGATGAGAAGTGAAGCTCATTTTGATCTGCTGGCATATGTTTTCGACCCCGGCGGTGGTTTATGGCTACTTTTTGAGGCGATTCGCAGGGTCCTTCCATTGATTTATTGATTTGTTTACTTAAATCTGGGGAAATGAAAGTTAGACGTGCTCCAACCAATCATTTTCCAATAAATATGTCAGTAGGGGTAGTAAAGTTCTTTCTGATCTCAAGGTCGACAGGATGCAGCGGGTTCGTCTCAAGGCGTTTTTTGCGCATTGTAGAAGTTAGAAACTGTAAGTATGATCAGATTCCAGATTCGTGTGGAGGCGGGCTGCGGACTTTACTGGTTTTAAGGAAAGCTCAACGAGAAAGTACGAAATACAGTGCTAAAACGTGGAAGTTTAACAAATTTTTCCTGAAAATCAAGGAAGTGCGCAACCCTCCTATACAGGAATCTGGGAGCCGATCACCTTTTGGTGGGTAGGGGACGAACTCCGCCAGTTTGAGTCTACCTTTGCTGGCAAATGGTCCTTTTGAAATATTGTTGTTTGTGGTTGCAGGACCAGTAGTCCGCGGAGATGTTTCAAACTGGCGGATTTCGTTCCCCCTACCCCATCTTGGTCGAACTAAAAGTCTCGGGCGAGACCGGGTCATCAGCTAGTATACTATACAAACTTCGTCCAACAAGACTCAGCACAATGATGGTCTGTTCTAGAGCTGAGACCAATTCGATCCGCACGCTACAGTTAAAAAGCACTGCACACAATGTTTATCAATTGTACAAATCCGTATGGCTCTCCGGTTAGTTCGGTGCGGCGACGCCGCGTTATGGAGCAAAGCTACACCGCATTTGCCTGTGGTATATCCTGAGGGTCCTTTGCGTTGCGTCGCTTCTAATTGCAGTCGCAGAGGAGCTAGCGCTACCGAGCGGACTGAGCCATTTTCCTCACTCTCCCTAGATAAAAAGATCAAAATGTGAATGATAAATGCATTTCAAGGGTGAAACAAATATAGAGTATGAGGAAGAAGCGTCTGCAAAGCAAGCCAATAGAAAGTAAAAGTGAGGAAGTTAATTTCTCTTGGAAACTCATTGACAGAAAATTTCTATCCTTTTTCTCTACTAATTCGTGTTCCACTTCTCTTGAAAATTTCAAACTCAAATCCAACATTGGATCATCCCAGATTCAGCCTCTGATTCATCTCTAGAATTCATCTATTTTTCTAAGTTTCTAAATATCAGTTTTTCCGTTTAATAGTTTCAACATCTCAGATAGTAATAGTGAGTGGCTCAATACGCTGGCAGGAGCAGCGCTACTCCTGCGGTTGCAGTCAAAGGCGACGCAACGCAAATGACCCTCAGGATACACCGCAGGGGAATGCGGCGTAGGTTTGCTCCATAACGCCTGCCCCCCAAAGTGGAACGCCAATTTCTATGAATGAATTCTGGCCCATATATCAATAAGAACTTCAAAATATTTTATGTTTGATATTGATGTATATGAAGAAATCAAATAAAAGATAGCAGAAACTCAGAAACAACAACCGAAACGATGAAAGAATGAATATTAAACATTGAAACTGAAAAATCAAAACCTACCGAAACTCCCGATGTGACCGCCCGTTGCATTACCTAAATGAAAAAAGCTATTTCTTGCGAAGAAAAACCAATCAGACGATTACTTGAGAAGGCACTGGCATCTGTCACTAGATTGTGCGTGCGCATTCATTGCCGGCTAGTATTAAGCAAAAAAAGCAAAGAAAATTTTTTAAAAGCTTGCTGCTCAACCGTTACAACTTCCCTTTCTAGATTTTTATCCCATTTAAGAAACCAATGAGGCAGTCAATACACAAAGTAAAAAAACCAGAAAGTTGAGAAAAAAATTATTTATCTTTAAACTGCCGAACAAGGGCGGTCAACGTTCAAGTGCGTCAACACGACATTGACGTCGAGTTGGAAACATGGCGCTTATTTCAAAATCACGCCATATTACGGACTCCGCTATCTCTTGCAACTGTTAGCCAAACTTTATCAGCCTTCCCCATTTATTGGTGAATTGTGATGTTCTTTGTACATATTAATACGTTTATCATACGGTAAATTGAGAGACTTTTCAGGAGCTCATGCACACAGTCTGTTGTGCATATGCACACATCTACAGACCAACTACTTGACTATAAACCAATTTGTCTGATTGATTGATCAAAAAGCTTGGATCTAACCTATAGAATATGCGTTATCACAACCCTATCAAAATGTGGACCTCTAAGCAATAACAGGATTGATTCGTAAAATCTGAGTCAGAACATGAGGTCAGCCTGAATTATGAGGGCAATGAAGAGACTCTTTCATCTCGTCTAAGTATATATCTACAGTTGTTTTCTACCCATTTTGCGGAGGACCTACTACTAACACCTTAAGATCATAGCATAATGAAAGATGAGGCAGCACCATATAAGGCGATTTAAGTTGTTTTGTATGATTTCCTAAGGAATTCTTTTTCAAAGTCTCTTGTCTCCCTACTCTCAAAGAAAACAAGTGAAGTTGTGGTGGGTATTCAATACGACACAAGTTGTGGGGAGGATCCAATACGACACTGCTAAGCATGTGAGTATGAACAAGTGAACTCTCTGGACGACGAAATCTTCGATGAACTACTTCTCGCGAGCGGTTTTCGAGAAATCATCACTTCCAAATGCCATTTGTGCTATCGGAAACATGCTTACCACTACCATAGTAGATCCATACCTCAATTTTACTATGTTTTTATCGAGTTCAGAAAAAAATGATTCTAAAAGCAGTGGGGATCCTGGAATCACCTAGAAAACGACAAAACATTAGAGACAGCTTATATGGCAATACGCTTCATTCATTAAGCTTGGAGAGCTATATACTGAAGTATGTGTGGTTTATGAGGGTTACAGACTTCTACAACACCGAGAACGAGGTACTTACACGACTACTATATGAAACGCTCACAGCCCCCCCCCCCCCCGCTACAATACAGCATATTCAACGAATTACTGATTCGGCTGTTTCTAGCACTCTCTAGGAAAAATGACCCTAATCCCTCTATCTTACCTTACAACTGTTGACATGCTCACTAAATGTATATACAAATGCAACTGTGCTCAAGGACCGAAAGGAAAGAAAAAATAACAGTAGAAAATGATGGATTCTCATGTATTTGCGATATGCAAAGCTTGCGCCAGCAGGCGTTTTTGATATGCGCCCGCTCGCGCTGCTGGCGTGCTGCTCTCCACAATAGGTTCCTGAACAGGTATGAGCGGATATACAAGAGATTGATAAATACCGCCCCAGATCGGGTGGCGAGCAAGAGGAACGATAGCTAGTGGGTGCCAATAACTCGCGCATACTTTACCGTCATTTTTGTCCATCAGCACGCAGAAATTTAGAGCATTTCCTTCTTTTATGCTTTCATGCAGGCAGGAGGATCGTATAGATTGTGTTTGCTTAAAAATCAGGTTTGAAAATTAGCTGAAAATGTCAAAAAAGGGTCCCAAAGGTGAACAAGTATTTCAAGCTTCCTGCAAGAACATCACCGAATTGCACGCACCACCGGGATTTGAGCAAGACTTATCAAATAGATTGAGTAGAGCTTCAATTTTATATCTACTATTTTTATAAGTTTGCAATTTGCGAATTCTGAAGGCAAATAGTGCATTGGCATCAGCAGCCGGCAATTACTATCGTTCCTCTTGCACCACACCCCTCTCCCCCTCCCCCAACAGAATTCACACTTTTTGCTAAAATATGTACAATTTTCCAGAATAATCACTGGATCTGGATTTCTGAAGAATAGAACCATTTTATCATCGAAGAGAGCGGGGATCCATTTTGCACTTCCTAGATTAACAATTCTATATATATACTGTCAAGCCACGCGATGTTTTCAACGGTCTTGTTACCTACAGAAATTGAGAATTCAAGACTTATGGGAAAAGACAAGAATTAGCGAGACAAAGAAAAAACAAAGAGCCTTGGTTGGCACGCCCTGTAGAGGATGAGATCAATACTGTAACAAGCGCATCAGTTAGCGCTAACTGCAGACATATTCTAACTATTACCAAGAACAATAATTGTTTGGAGTTTTTTGCGCCAAACTTACTTGAATGACTGAAGTCACACAGAATACCATAAGGGTTTCACTTGTTCCCAGTTCCTAACACTACCTTTCTTGCAATCCAGATTGAGATTTGATTGTGTCTCCCCTTATTTTCTAGTTCCGATCATCCCTTTTTTCAGCCAAGTCGTTATGGCATTCGAATCATCTTATATATAAAGCTGAATGTCTGTTTGTCTGTATGTATGTATGTATGTATGTATGTATGTATCGTTTATTCGTTGACCGTAACGACTGCTGACCGCGCGGCGACCGCTGCGCGTGCATGATGTTTTCGTAGAAAAGATGAATAGAAAGAAAACAGAGGATTCTTCTCATCTTTATAATGTAGAAAAGAAACAAAGAATTGTTCTCATCTTAAGCCACGGTCCAACTTGTCACTTTTTCGCAAGTTTAGAAGGCACGCGTCGCAGTCGCCACGCGGTCGGCAGTCCGTACGTTCAACGAATGAACGATATGTGTGTACGTATGTTCCGAATAGAAAATTCCATTTCTGAACCGATCCGGACCAAACTTGACACACATACACTTCGGGCCCCGGCGGGTGTCATAGGCTACTTTTCGTCATCGATCGATATTGATTTTATCGATTTTTATCGATTTTTTTGCAGAGTTCACCCACGGGGCTGGGAGTTGGCACAGGGGGGTAATCGAGCATGGGGATTACGAATACAATATTGGTTTTCAGGATTATCGATTACTATTATCGATTTTATCGATTTTTTCGCAAAGTTTGAGCTACGGGGCTGGGAGTTGGCACAGGGGGGTAATCGAGCATGGGGATTCCGAATACAATATTGGTTTTCAGGATTATCGATTACTTTTATCGATTTTATCGATTTTTTTGCAAAGTTTGAGCTACGGGGCTGGGAGTTCGCACAGAGGGGTAATCGAGCATGGGGATTCCGAATACAATATTGGTTTTTGGGATTATCGATTACTTTTATCGATTTTATCGATTTTTTGCAAAGTTTGAGCTACGGGGCTGGGAGTTCGCACAGAGGGGTAATCGAGCATGGGGATTCCGAATACAATATTGGTTTTCAGGATTATCGATTACTTTTATCGATTTTATCGATTTTTTTGTAAAGTTTGAGCTAGGGGGCTGGGAGTTGGGACAGGGGGGGGGTAACCCCCAAGGGGGGTGCTGATCACCCCCAAGGGGGGTGATCTGCATGCTCGATTACACCCCCTGTGCAAACTCCCAGCCCCGCAGGTCAAACTTTACAAAAAAATCGATAAAAGATAAAAGTAATGGACGATCTTGAAAACTAATATTGTATTCGTAATCTGCATGCTCGATTACCCCCCCCCCCCTGTGCAAACTCCCAGCCCCGCAGGTCAAACTTTACAAAAAAAATCGATAAAATCGATAAAAGTAATGGACGATCCTGAAAACTAATATCGTGTTCGTAATCAGCATGCTCGATTACTCCCCTGTGCAAAATCCCAGCCTCGCATGTCAAAATTTACAAAAAATCGATAAAATCAATAAAAGTAATCGATAATTCTGAAAACTAATATTGTATTCGGAATCCCCATGCTCACTTCCCCCTTGTGCCAACTCCTAGCCCTGTAGGTGAACTCTGCAAAAAAATCGATAAAAATCGATAAAATCGACATCGATCGATAACGAAAAGTGGACTGTGACACCCGCCGGGGCCCGAAGTGTATGTGTGCCAAGTTTGGTCCGGATACGGCGGAGCCGGGTAAGCCAGCTAGTTTTCCATAAAGTATATCTACTGCTTTATCAATAGTCCTGACGTCCTGTACTGAAAGAATGACAAGGTGTGGTGATCTGTAGGCGACATCATAAGTTATTCAAACTAGGTGCTTTCACTCAAGTAGGAGAAAATCTGCACAGCTGCAATCGCTCTTTCTCTCTTTGAGATACGATGCAGTGAAAGGGATGCCATCGGAGCTTGCAGGATTTTTTTTCTGAGCATATTAGGTTGTCCCAAAAGTAAACTTCTTTTGCAAATAATTTAAGCTGTTTTTGTTTTCCCAATAAACTTGGGGTATCATGATAGAGCAGATCAAGCTCTACAAAATAACTACCAAGGATCCACCTAAACCGCATTCCGTGGAAAGTTTGAAGCCAAAAACGGAAAAAATTTTGTCACCTGAAAACTGGATTTCTGAGATAAAGAATCCTACAGACCTCTAATTTGGTCATTATATAGTAGACACATAGTAGTTACTAAAATATGCCTTTACCGAATTTTTTCCAAGCATAGAAAGCGAGGAATAAAAATTGTCCAATAATGGCAAACTCCGCCCCCAGCTCCTCCCACATATGTCATTGTTACAAGCCTTACTAAGTATAATTTCAAAAACTTACCCCTGTATGTGCTCTTATCTTCGGTAAATACCAAGTTTTACTTGAAAAACCCGAAAAAAGTGGCATTTTGGCATTTTCGGACCATCTTTTTTTCCTCATTTGACCCCTACAAAAAATTCGCCAAATATATTTTTGGGTACTACTATATGTCTACTATATAGAGACCAAGTTGAAAGTCCGTAGGAATTCTCTGGAAGGGAGATCCGATTTTTAGGGTAGCTGAAAAATCTTGATTTTTAGCCCCAAATTTTATCTGGATTACGACTTAGGTGGATCTTTGGTGGCCTTTTTATAGAGCTTGCTCCGCTCTATCGGATGGTACCTTAGGTCTGTTAGGAGAACAAGAACAACTCAATTTATTTGAAAATGGAGTTTACTTTTGGGACAACCTAATGGTTAGATAGCGAGACCACCAGATGACTCCCTGATTGATTCCCTTTTTTGTGGATCATAACACAAGACTATTTGTTTTAGGGCTGCTCTCCCTTACTCAAAGGAAGCGTTGGGAAAGCGATCACTTCCTGAGGCAAAGTGTTAGAGAGATGAAAAATGTGCGCGTTTTGTACTCGTGAAAAGGGTAGAAAAAAGTCTGTTATACTTGTCATAGAGACATTTTTTCCAAAGATTCTGAGATCAAGGCGTGTGGGAGGGGAAGATGTGAATAATTTTTCAAAGTTTTAGTATACTTGTAAAACCTTCAAAAGAAAGAAACAACAGTGAGAGTAACCTAGGCTGCTAGAGGCGGAGGTTAAGACTATTGATAACATTTTCTTATTTCTGACCATGATTTGTACGTCTCTATCAAATGTATGAGTAAGTAATAGTTTATGATTTTAGAGCAAAAATGCGGTTCGATAAAATTTTCCACAAGTACTGACTACAAACTTCTGGTACATAACGATCTCTGCGATTGTTAGGACTCTACTCCTAACGATTTTATTGCCATCGGATGATGCTCCACTTCTTTTTCATAATACAGGGTGTCCCAAAAAATGTGCACACTGTTTGATTAAAAATAACTCTCTTGTAATTAAGTGGTTCGAGAAATTTTAGGTACCATTTTGTAGAGCGAGGTTCAACTTAGATACAGTGTAGAGCGAATCGCCGACCGCTCATGCTTACTGTAGGATTACGGTAGAAACTTTGAAGAGGGTTTTGAGCCATGAAAGGCCATATTTTGTTCAAAAAGCAACCAAAACAACCTGAAAGCTCTCACACTGGGCTAATTAGAATTGCTGATTCTAAATGTGAAGTTCGCAACTTTTCGTGATGCTTCATTGAAAAATTATGCGAGGTAAGCAATAGCGGCCTTTTCTTTCGATTTCCAAAAAGTGCGGTAACACCGTTTAGAAAGCTTCGCAACCTTGTAAAGAGTTGGATATTGAACTCAGCGTCCATGAAAACCCTACTACACAAGTTTCCACATTTTTTTTGAAATTTTTTGAAACGGCCGCTTTTTTCACAGTGACACCATATGTTTGAAGTTCCTACCGTAATTCTACAGTAAGAATGAGTTGACGATTCGTTCTACACTGTAAATCTAAGTTAAACCTCGCTCTACAAAATGGTACCTAAAGTTTCTCGAAACACTCAATTACAAGAGAGTTATTTACAATCAAACACTGTGCACATTTTTTGACTATTTTTTTACTACAGTCTAAGACCTTCTGGTCGAGAAACACAGCACGACAACTAAGTCTTGGAAAAAAAGCGATATCTTGAAAGGACGATTGTTGCCTTCCATCTCATTTCCTACATTTTTCAATCACGGAACTGCAACTTTTATTGGAACAGATAATCAACAACATGAAGGTGGAAACGAGACTGAGCAAAAACGAATTATTGGAACAAAGGAGCTTGAATTAAGCAGGGCAGGTTTAGATCGAAACAGAAGAAAGTTTGTTGCTGTCCAAAGCTTACAAAATTGTTTTTAGGAGAGGGGGGAAACTCGAGATGACCCGCGCTATATGCAGCTTTTTTGTAAGCTATTGATGAGTGAAGGTAAGGAATATTATCACTCGACCTACCCGCTTGAAATACTTCGCAGAGCTTCTTCCACAAAACTCCGTGCTTGCTCGCACTCAAATAGCATCAATTGCATCTGGTCTACAACTGATCCTTCAAAGGATGGTCCGACGTCCACCTGCATCCCCTCAGGAAGTGCAGGCGCTCTAGGGTCTTTATTCTTCTTTTCTTTTTCACGCAGCTCTTGAAGTTGTATGTAGTCAGAAATTTGATCATATATGGGCTGGATCAATCGTGTTTTCAGCTCTGGCAACATCGATGGGTTGATCCTGGAAAATCACAAAATAATACCAAGCGGTGGCGATAGAATACTTAATACACCTTTTCATAGCAATGGACTGGATTAGAACAAATACTGAGGAGTAATAGTTTGCAGCTAGCGACATATTGTCGTAACGAGTGTTCTCCAACAATCCCAAGAAACTTCCCACTTCCTCGCGAAAGGCATCCTCGTCCAGATCTCGCCTATACTGATCAACGAACCATGCCACCACGGCAGCTTCATTTTCGAGATGGAGATCTTGCTGAAATTGACGGACATAGAAGATCTCTTCAAGAAGTGACTTTTCTGTGCATTTTTTTGTATTATACACCCAGGGTGCATAGGAGAAGAGAAACGAATGGAACAACTAATCAGTTTCGTCCATTATTTATGGTTAAATTTAGGCGACTGATAATATTAGGTCGTTCCGAAAGTAATATCCCTTTTTTCAAACGTACGCCACATCTCTGGTACAAAGATACAGTGACCGCCAAAAAGTTGCGGACAAGCCTCCCTCCCTTTTTCATCGCTCTTTTTCAGAAGTAGAACAAGGATAAAAAAATGTAATGATTGCATGAGGTGATAGAGCTCTTCAAGATCTACAATCTACACTTTGCGTTTTTCGAAAAACATGTATTCTAAAAATTTTAAAAAACTTTTTCTAAAAACAGTCCGAAAATGGCCGCGTCACAGTGTCGCGGGCAATAATTCTTCGAACGCAAAAATTTTCTTTTGAGTCCTATTCTGAAGCGGAAACACAAGTAATCCAAACGGGTAAGCATACTAATATGCAGAGCTCGCCAAGAACTACACACTGGTTATGGTTGCTTTCCAGAAAACACAAGCTTAAGTTTTATTTTGCTTTATTTTCAAAAATAACTTCTAATTCTCCTTTTTAAGCCAAGTTTCTTCACATGGAAACCTATTCACAACATTCCAACAACGCTGTTTGGATAAAGCAGATGCTCTTTACCATTCTCCATGCATCTGACGTATGCTGATGAGTTTCTTTGCTGAAAATGGCTCTTGGCAGTGCTTGCACATGACCCCACCTGCACCTCACCACTAACTTGTACCGGTTTGCAGGCTTGTAACTCGGCTTGTAGTTAATGTGTGAGCCTGCAATTAGGCTCATTCGAAAGAAAGAGACTTCCTCTACACGATGGTATGCAAAAGAGGTGGGTATAAGAAACAGCTCTTATCAACACCAAAACAGTTCTAGAGCTTCAAAATTGATCTATCATAAGAACATTGACAGTTTTAAGCTTCCAGGATTGAACTGGTAGCGAAAGAAGCTCTATTCACTTTAGCTGGATATCCTCACCCTACCACTGAGGCCGCGTTTTTCCACCCCATCCGCCAAATCTCCGCTTTTTCTTATACCCATCTCTTTTGCATACCATCGTGTAGAGAAAGTCTCTTTCTTTCGAATGAGCCTAATTGCAGGCTCACGTATTGACTACAAGCCGAGTTACAAGCCTGCAAACCGGTACAAGTTAGTGGTGAGGTGCAGGTGGGGTCATGTGCAAGCACTGTCAAGAGCCATTTTCAGCAAAGAAACTCGTCAGCATACGTCAAATGCATGGAGAATGGTAAGGAGCATCTACTTTATCCGAACAGCGTTGTTGGAATGTTGTGAATAGGTTTCCATGTGAAGAAGCTTGGCTCAAAAAGGAGAATTAGAAGTTGTATTTGGAAAAAAAAGCAAAATAAAACTCAAGCTTGTGTTTATTGGGAAGCAACCATAACCAGTGTGTAGTTCTTGACGAGCTCTGTATAGTAGTATACTTACCCGTTTGGACTACTTGTGTTTCCGCCTCAGAATAGGACTCAAAAGAAAATTTTTGCGTTCGAAGAATTATTGTCCGCGACATTGTGACGCGGCCATTTTCGGACTTTTTTTTAAAAAAAGTTTTTTAAAATTTTTAGAATACATGTTTTTCGAAAAACGCAAAGTGTAGATTGTAGATCTTGAAGAGCTCTATCACCTCATGCAATTACTACATTTTTTAATCCTTGTTTTCCTTCTGAAATAGAGCGATGAAAAAGGGAGGGAGGCTTGTGCGCAACTTTTTGGCGGTCACTGTATGTAAGAGATTCTGGTAGCATTTGATGCATTTCATCCTCTTCCTAGCCTTATATAATCACCGCAAAAAATTTAATAACCTCTTTAAAAATTATCAAAGTCTGCGACCCATGCTTTTTGAGAAGGCCAAGTTTCACAATTTTTCTAAATTTTTATAACAGCCCTCGGAAGGAGTCCAAGTAATGGATGGATAGAGCAAACTCTACAGTAAACAGCATAACTTTTTTCTACTTTCCAAAGCTCGTCATAGTTTTTGTATGGATTTTTTTTTAATGGAACCACCGAACTTTAGCAGGCTCGTCTCAGACAAAAATGCACCAAACACCAATAGATCTTCAGATTTTGAAAATTACAAAGATGGATTATGGTTTGATACTAATTTTACAAACCAAATGAGCATTCACCGCTTCAGATTAGCAACTTTCTAAAATTCCGGGTACAGCCTGAGGCACCCTGGAAAGCCTGAATTATGATGATTTTATCCCGGAAATCTTGATGAATCAGAAAGAAAAAAACTGGTAGATAGAGGAGAAAAAGCTGCGTCGAATGACACCCGAGTTGCTTGCCGGTTGTTGTTCTATGAGGTTCGAGTTGGCCAGATATGGAATTTGATAGTATTGAAAAATTGATCCCAGAAAATCTAAGAAGCAAGCTAAGGAAAAGAAAAAATTGCTTTGCGTCCTATAGGCTTTGCTTTATCTACCAGTCGCTTGTACTTCTTCGAAGAACAGGTGCGAAAATTTAGAAAAATAGCCGAACTTGACCATGGCAAAAAAGCATGAGTCGCAGATTTTGGTAATTTTTCGAGAGCTCATTGAATATTATGTAATGAAATTACAAGCATTAGAAAGAGGATAAAAGCTGCATCGAACGCTTTTGACTCTTGAAAATCTTGATTCCATAAAATGTGGCGTTTATATAAAAAAAGCGACGTTACTTTCGGAACGACCTAACATTAGGTTGTCCGGAAAATAATGTCGCATGGCATCCTACCGCGGCAAAATGACCACAAAAAACAGCGAATGGGATATCATTTGATAGAGCAAAGCAAGCTCTACAAGATAGTTTGCAAACCTTCGCGAAAATTTTGCTCCACCTGAAGTTCGAATCCAAAATATAAAAAATTTCAGATATCTGTCAAGTCTAACGAGTTAGTAATCTCGGGACTTGATCCCTCTACCCTGTTGTGTTACATCTTTAACAGAACACTTCGACTAGATGATTTTATCATTCTATTATACACGCATGAAATGGACATTAATGGGGAGGGGACCACCGAGCACCCGGGGAACGCCAGCTCATCTGGAGATTCTAGGCACCGCCCAGCTCGTGGGGACTGTCGGACCATCTAATTAGTCCGCATCTCGACATATCCAAAAAATCGTATCTCCGTTCATAGACGTCCTAGAGATCTCCAGTTTGCACAGGCATGTACTCTCCACAAGGGACATTTACCTGTATAGTTTGTGTTATTTTTCCATGGCTACAATAGGGATAAAAATATGTCAAAAATGCGAATATGTCGCTTTTTTCGGGTTATTTGCAAACAAGTTAATTTTTCTCGAAAACTAGAGTTTGTCTAAAGCTGGAAGTCCATGCTCGTACTTCTAAAGGTCCATACTACAGTATCACCCACGTGAGAGAAGCTCAGGATTGCTTTGACAAAAATATGCCGAATTTCGTTTTCTCAATTTTAGCCATGGAAAAACCGCGAAAATGTGCATACGAATGTCTCGTGTAGTGTGTCCATGCGTGAGCAAGTTAGGGGTTCCCAGAACTTTTCTAAACCGAGATATGACCTTTTCGCTTTTTTAAACCTTTATTGCCTTTTGAAATTTGACTCCAAACTTCACGCAAATCAAAGTTGGCGTAAAGGTTCGAGCTTCATTCTGTAGTGCTTGCTCGGATCTATCGGTTGATATCCCATTTCCATACTTACTTTCGCGCGCACCTTGATGCGATATGGCACGATAAAACACGATGCGACATTATTTCCGGACAACCTAATACATAGCCTCATGTACATATTAGGCTGTCTCATAATCTTTTACTGTTTTTACCCTAAACATCAGCATTTCTCGAGAACTGGGGCACCTACAAAAAATCCAAGTACATGGTCGTAGTACTTCTATATGTATGAGCTATATGATCACATGCGTGGGAGGAGCTCAGAACGTCTAGGGACGGAGTATGCCATTTTCCCTCATTCATTTTTTCTTTATTTCTAGCCATGGAAAAAAATTCGGAAAGTGTGCAGCCGGATGTGCGATGTGTCAAGCATATGCTAGAACAAATGGGGAATTTTTTAGATAATTTGGAGCGGAGATACCACTATCAGCTTCAGCTCAAAACTTCACGTGGGCTATGATTTGACAGACTTTTGATAGCCATCTTGTAGAGCTTGCTTTACCTGTCGAATGATTATTGAAGCCGCACCAGATGAAGGAAAGATGCAAAAATACGGCGGTTGTAGTAAAAACGGTAAAAAAATTATGAAACAACCTTTTAGAAATTGTGAACATCAATTTGATAGGAGCAGTTTTGGTACATCAAGAGGAAATATTGATCAGGACACAAAAGGAATTTTTTCTGATAAGCCCTTGAGATAGTTTTTCAACCTCACTGCCTCCGAAAGATAAAAAGTTGCTTTTATTTGAGTGTCAGCAAGGGCGAAGGCGTTTATTAGAAAAGAAATTCAATTAGCTACGGAATTTGTAGGGATTCAACTGCAACGTTTACAGTGAATAATCTTTGACCAGGGCTCGGCACAGCTGGCACGGGGTCAAGCTGAATATCGTTTTTAGGGCGGAGAGCAAAGGGGATGTCGTTCTTTCGAGGTCCGGGCGGAGAGGAGCCGCAAGAATGCCACCGGCATGCTATACAGCAAACAAACAAAGGCGTTGTTTTCAGCCAAAACGCAATAGTATGACACCAAATTTGGCGTGTGCATGCGCGTTGGGGGACCCGAACTATGGCTCAAAAATTTATGAAAACTCATGTGAATGAAAGCTGTGCTGAACTTTTTCCTGATTTAGCCGGCACCGTGCTAGCTGCTTTGCTCACATAAGTTTTCATAGTTTTTTACATAAAATGTATCTACACAGTAAAAGTTTACATAAGAAAAAACAATCTCATAACGTTTTCTTTGCAGCGTTCTATAGTCATCTGAATATTTCGTGGTCTGCTCCGCAGTGAAAATTGGCTTTTTCTGCTTCTTAAGATGTGATTCAACCATTTAAAAAGCTCAGAAAGCTGTGAAAAGTTGTTCCATGAAGTTAGCTTGCATGAAAACCCCACTACACACTTTTAGATAATCTGAAAATGATGACGGGTCCTCAAAATAGGTCAAAGGGGACGTCGTACGAAATTTTCAATATCAAACGGGATTTCGTCTTGAAAGTTCCCCGGTGCCAGCTCGTGCCGAGCCCTGTCCTTGACTGATTTGAAGCATCAAGATGGAGAAAAGAGAAGAACATAAAACTGAAAAACAAGGAATGAGGCAACATGCCAAGACTGCTATGAATTAATCATAGACGCAGCATGCATCTAAACCACAACTGATAATTCCCATAATTTTTCTTCAAGTTGACATTCGCATTTTGCACGAAAGAATTCTATAGCATATCGAGAAGGTACAGCCGCGGTAAACAGATTAGGAGCACTTGCGAATGTTCAGGTAAACAAGATCGATGTTTAACAATGTGTCTAAGCCAAGTAGAACCAACAAATGCTGGTGTTTTGCCTTTTCAATCCGGACTATAACGGGCAAATAAATGCACAGACTATTATCATTCTGCTGATCATGCAACAACTATTGATCATAGGACTAGTCGGATACTATTAACTTCCGAAATATTCCAAACTGAGCCACCACCTGGCTAGTATGTATGCGCTACAGCTCCGTCGTTGCTAATACTACAAGATTTGGCTGGTGATGGACTGGCGCAAACTAGGTATTTATCAGAATTTTTCAGCTTGACCATTTTGACTGCACTTAGTGGCGATCCACTACATCGCTGTAGAAGTGAATTCAGTAGAAATCTGGTAATATAAGTTATATTGAAGGACATAGGATTAACTATTGCAAAAGGTGAAACAGAGGATAAATACGGGAAGAGCTCAAAAGTTTGTATGGCGATGTTGAGAATGAACACGAGTTTATAATAGTTACATAGAATTTTCAAGAAAATAGCAATCTAGCACTAGGCATACAAAGGCTTTGAAATAAAATGCTGCAAACCTTCAACTGCAAAAAATCAAATTCTGCAGAAGTATATAATCCCATTATATGAAAGAGATATCACTAAATTACAATTTCATGTACGTTGGAAAGGCTGTTCGCGAGAAAACTGATCATATATCAATCCATAGTAACTAATCACTGACATGAACGAGGAGCCACCCAGAAGTCACAGAGACGAAGTGCATAACAAAACATCAAGCGGGAAACTTGCTCGTGCCTGTATTGTAGAAAACAACTGTGCTATGAAACTTCTGATGCATTCTATAGAGGAAGGAAAATAGAGTAAGAATGCAAAGTAAGAATGCAAATCAATGGCAGAACATTGAAAAGTCAAGCGAGAGGCCGCAGCGCTACCGCTGCGAAGCTAAAAAACGTCTCGTTGTGCACGAATGCGATTCAGAATTCGCAAGATGATCGACGCCAGAAGAAAAAGACTTTTGGTAGTGAGAGCCAAGCATCAAATGCAGTAGAACTACTTGCAAAGAGTGCCAAGTGGAAGGAAAGTCAAACATTTATATGAATTTTCAAGCAAAACATGTGCAAACTTGGCTTGACACACTTGACGAGTCCGTATATAGCTGTGGTTCCGAAAGAATCCTGGCGAGAGTTTCAAGAATTTTCAGGGCCGTCCGGGTGGAAGAAAGGAGAAGAATTACTGTTTCATAACAATTGCAATCTTAAGGCTTGCAGGACAGTCCAGGCCGGATACACCTTATGAAAAAAATTATTGGTTTCATGCCAAAGTAACAAAAGAAGACGAACGAAGTAAAGAAGGAGTGGACAGAGGGGACAGGGTCCGGCACGAGTCCGTTTCTTTTTAGAAACAATGTCCCCTATGATTTTGAAAAATTCGTACAAAGTCCCAGGGCCCAGCACGAGTCCGTTTCTTTTTGAAAACGAAGTCCACTTTGGTCTCCAAAATTTCGTACGAAGTCCCCTTTGATTCACTCTAAACGCAAGAACCCTTAAGAAACGAAACGTCGCAATTCTTGTGTTTTTTCGGGCCCACAAAAACGATACCCCCTTTGCTTTTTCGCCCCAAAAACGATGTCCAGCCTGATCCCAGACGATCTGTGCCGGACCCTGAGAGAGGACTGCACCGAGGCTGCCACGAAATTTTCCTTTCTTATTTCGTTTTCTTTTTTTTCATTCTGACCTCAAAGAGCAAAGCTGTTATGGTGTAAAAGCTTTTCATATACAGGAAAAGTGAAGTTTGAATCTTGTTTCGTGGAGGAGTCAAATGCAGTCTTAAGGCCCCGGGAAGACTTCACGCGATTTGATCGTCGCGACTGAATCGCGAAGAGACAACTGTTACAACATCATTCCATTCCGATCGACTTGCATTTCGGTTGTGATACTTTTCCAGCCCGAAATTTTTGAATGTGAAATGAAAATGAATGGAAATGTTGGCGATTGTGTCGCGACGATCAAATCGCGTGAAGTCTGCCCGGGGCCTAAGAAGGAGCATTTGAATAGAAAGTAACCGTAAAATCAAGAACACATGGTAAGGAGAAACTTGAAAGTAAGCCTTTTTCTTGCAATTTTCTTATACAACAATTTGAATTGGTTGCAAGAAAACGGAGAGAGAAGCTTTAAGGATTTTCTCCAGACAATTAGATATATACGCTACGAAAAAACGCGATGTCGGTCAAAAAGAATAATGAATAAGCAATGTAGATTATTATGCTATCATTTTTCTCGCGCATATGGAAAGCTTGATGAAATAGAAGCCCAAACAAGAATGACCTTACATTTGGTTTGAGTAAGTAAGCCTTGTATTGTATGCGAATTTCAGACAAGGACACAAGTGACAAAATGAAGTTAATGAAGAACTTGAGTGTAAATCAAACGGATTAATGTGAAAAATGAAAAAAATTCTCCCAAAAAATTTTTGCTGCTAAGAAAAGCGTGAATCACATAGAAGAATGTTATGCAAAACTCGATATGCTCATAACACTATATTGAATTCAGCGCCAAGGCGCCATTCTCATAGTAACTTATCGCATTAACGCCCCTAGACTACTATATAACATTGTGAAAAGTGATCTCTGTCACTCCAAAGTTTCACAGTTCGTTGCAGAGATAGAAGGCTCCATTTGCAGGTACAAAACAGCACATATCCTGTGGAATGGTTGCAATCTTTTATTTCTTGTGGATGGACCGAATTTTTGACAGAGGGTTCATAAGCGGATTCTGTGAGATTTTCTAAGGCTTAAATCTTGAGATCTTGGAAAGATGGCGGAGTCGCGGTTAAAGTTGCACTCCCAAAAAAAAACTGCTGATGATCTTGGAAGTAACTTCATAGGACTAACTTGAATATCCGATGGAGGTAAGTTATTTGCTATACCACTGCTCATGTAAACCATATCAAAAATACCGCAAAATATTGGCCTCCGTCCGCTACTGGGAAACGTAAAGGCCTAGAGCCAATTCATTTTTTTTGGATTTTACTCCCGTAGATGCGTATAAACTTTCCAAAGCGAGAGTAGTATAGAAGCTGTGCCAGGCAAGTGATCTCATAACGAAATTTTACTTCAGGAAAAACTCTGATAAATTTGGTCTCATTTCAAAAAAAAATAACTTACACTGTCTAGAACCATGGTTAGGATCCGTTTTATGAGTAGTACTCTCAATTCACTTGGAAACATCTGTACAATTTCCCGACATTTATCCATTATTGTTACCCGAAATGCTTGCTGCTCAAAATCCTCAACGAAACGGAGAAGCGGCAAGATGAGCTTCTGCAACGAAAAAATATTGAATACAGTAAAAACTGAATATTTGGAAACCTACGCTGCATAGATCGATATCAGAAGTATTCAAGCCTTCAAGCAAGCTGGTGATGTGGGCCAGCGCATTAGTCACTGGCGTGACAAAGAACCGTTCATAACTGGAACTGATCAATCAGAATCTGTGAACTTAGAAGTGGAGAAAAGCCTGACTTGTACTCATTCTCGCGCAGATATTTCGTGAGTCCTATGATAAGATATCTTCCAAGGCTAGTGCGAGAGTAGACACAAGGAATGAGAGGAGTCGGTTCGGTAACACTCACTAAATAACGAAACTTGAACAAGCAGTTCAAGTCTACTAATTCTCATGCTAATAAAAATATTCTCAGCGAGCTTACAAAGATATAAAAATTTAGTACAAAACAGCTCAAATTTTAGATTGACGAAGCCTTTGCCTTTTCTTGAAGAAGTCAGAAATCAGGATAAGTCAAATTTTGGACAATTCCGTCACCATGTTTGATATGTAAGTTGTGAGGAGCAAGGTAAATCAATTCTTTTACCAACACTAGAGGAGATCTACACACGGAAAAAGCATTGACTTCTACCACCCAACAAAATACTTTGTTCTTCGTCAAATTATTCGATTTTTTCTTACAGATTTTAACTAGAGGAAATATGCAGACATGACTTTTTACACAAAACACATTGCAAAACTTGAAACTACTGTTCCCGTTGTATCATTCTATTGAGTATGCAAAATCGCTGAATTAGACAAGGGTGATGCCTCTATTTCTACACACGCATAGATAGAAAACGTGATCTACAACATTCAGCTCTTAGAAACCTATCGCTCTCCGAAGCAATTTCCCTCTTGTCATACATGCATTGATCAAAAATATCGAAAACTGACGCAGTTTAGGAAAAAATGGATGCGTTTTAGCGTAGTAGAATAGTAGAGGGAAAGTTCTAGGCAGATCCATCTCTGCACTGTGTACGGCAGCCGTAAAGATCATTGTCATTCTGAAAGAAGAAGATGATGGTGAACTGCAAAAGCAAACGTAAGGCTGGATTCAGAGTTTTTCTCTGCGCCAGCATACCAACGCCGTTTTCGCGCCGTACCGGATGTCGATGCGGCACGAGGCTAGCATGACGCTGGCACAGCTGCGGCACACAAGCAACTCTGGACGCAGCCTGAGAAAATCACGCAGACCTCTCAGGCAGCACAAAGGGAATATTGTTTAGGGCATATAAGATATCTGCCGCTGCAAGTGCAGACTCCAACACATTGGGATCGTCTTCCTTAGCTAGGTGTTCTTCGAGCTTCAACGGTAGCACATTTCGCAGCTCATCCCACTCAGGACTGTAAGCTGTATTTACGTGAGAAAAATCGTTAAAAAAATGTTCCACCCACTGGCTCTCCAGGAAATTAGCCGTGACGATGGATCGCAGCTGACTAGTGAGCAGCTCGGCAAAGTGCGGTGTCGTTCTTCCGGTGATAAAGTTGAAACAGATACGGAACTTGAGAGTTTCCGGATGAATGAAGCTGCAAACGCGTTTTACAGAACATAGGAAAAAATATTGAAATGAATAATTTCGCTTTAAAACGTAGACTATGGTAGAGCTAATGTGAACGGGGCATATCCTATACCAAAGGATCTTTAAAGGCAGCGGCTCGGCAGAATGATAAATTTGACTCGGTTCCCCTGGATGAGATAAGTCGATGACTGTGCTTTGCAGCTTCAAAAAACATCAATAACCCGATTTTCCAGAAGTGAAAAGTGCCATTTGAGCGGACGGCTATGCCTGCCCTCGAGCGCGATTGGCTCGTGGGTACGGTAGATACAGTGTCTCCGTTCACAGGCCAATCGCGCTCTAGAGAGCAGGATACGCGGTCTGCCCAAATAGCACTTTTCACTGTCTGGAAAAGCGGGTTTTTGATATCCTTTCAAAGCTGCGAAGCACAGTGTTAGACTTAGCTCTCCAGGGTAACCCAGAACGATGAATATTAAATTTGTCATCCTGCCGAGCCGCTGCCTTTAGGGACTCGCTCTCAAATGCTTTCATTGTTGTCAGCGGAGATGCAGACAGCTCGAGTTTAGGCAGTGAGGAAAAGACATCCCACTTTTATTTTTGAAGCTGGTTCTTCTTATCATACTTAGCTTCTTGAAAAATCGGAAGAACGAAAACCTTGGAATCACAGTAATTAAATTTTCGAGAACCTTCGCACTGATAGCATTGGATTTAAGCCTGCAGGACTTTGAGTAGTGGTCCCGTAACAGAAACAATATTATTATTGGTTCACTGATATTACCAGGGAGCCAATGGAAAAAATTATGGCGAAATTGAAAATTTCCAAGGGGTAGAGCAAAAAGGCGCGCACTTCTATGGGAAGAGAACAAGTTACGTGATTATTGACATAAGCAACTTTTGAAGAAAATGAAGACATAAAAATTAAGACAAGTTTCTCGCAAACTTTTGACACTCTTTTGGGCTACTATTAACTCACATGACTGTCAAAAGTAAGCTAGAGACTTTTCATGTTTTCAATAAACGATTTTTCCTTTCTGAAAGGAGTGGCTTTCGGTGTTGAAAAAAAAAAGCATTTTAAGAAGGAAAAGCATCCCAAAAAAGACGCCGTTCACAAAATCGCAATTTGAGGGAAATTCGATTGCCCTCCTTCCCACCCTTGCTCCCCTCTATACCTGAAGAATATAACGAATCTAATAATTTGGATTTACTATGTAGTCGTAGCAACGTTAGTCTTCTCTAGGTATAGAGGGAAGCAAGGGTGGGAAGTAGGGCAGTAAAAATTCCCTCGAATGTAGGACTTTTTATACGGCGTCGTCTTTTTTTGGAATCTCTGATCTTCCGATCTTAAAATCCTTTCTTTTTCGACAATAAAAGCTTTCCCATGAATAGAAAGCAGCAACCATCACTAATTCATTCTAGTACGACGTATCACAAATTGGATACTTACTCTAGAAGAGCAAGTACAAAAACGCGAAGTTTGTCATCATTGTTGTCGCGAAATCTGGTTGCGGCATCAAATATGGTGTCGATGGACAGCTTTCTCAAACGCTCTAAAAGAAAAAAATCGCTGATGGAAAAACTGCTGAAGACTTCTTTCACCTGGATTTGCTACTCCAAAATTACCAAGGAAATTCAGTGCCTCTTCATATTTCCCAGAGTTGATCAACTTCAGGAGCTCGTCTTTTTCATCACTCATCACACCTAGAATCAAATCATCAAAAGGAATAAAAATCTTCATACGTATCAAATATCTTCTCTAACAAGGGAACGATCCCAACTTAAGGTGGCGAATTGGAATGAACCGCATACCATTAGATGCGCTTGATGAGCTGATTCCAAATCTGTCTTCCGTATCGCGATACCGCTATCTGCAAAGAGTCATGAGCGGTTGAAAATGTGAAGTTATCGGGGTTTTAATGCATAATATGCTTTAAAATCCAACTTGGAAGTGCACGACTAGCATGATATTGAGTGTACTGATTCCGAATGCTCGGATTCCAAAGAAACACAGATAAGTGTTTTTGAACAGCTAAAAAGCAACTAATGTGCTTTGGTAAAAGCTATGAGTAATGGAAAGTCCAAATTTGGCAAATGTACAGCGTCATACCTCGAAAATTAGTTGCTCAAAAACACTTATCTGTGTTTCTTTAGAATCTGAGCATTCCCTGGAATCAGTACACTCAGTATCATGCTAGTCGTGCACTTCGAAGTTGGATTTTAAAGCATTTTATGCATTAAGACCCCGATAACTTTACATTTTCAACCGCTCATAACTTTTTGCAGATAGCGGTGTCGCAGATACGAAAGACAGATTTGGAATCAGCTCATCAAGACGCATCTAATAGTATGCGGTTCATTCCAATTCGCCATCTTAAGTTGGGATCGTTCCCTTGTAAGCAACTTCTCAAATTGTTCAAGTCCGCAATGAGCGACACTGCAGTTCTTGATAGGGATGAAAACATATAGAGATTTCCAGAATTTTGTCTTCTCCTGCCTTCATTATATAGGCCTAATTAAACGAAGCGCGAGCTCAAAACGCGGCATTTCAACAGTAAAGAGGAACCCGCGCTTTTGCATACGGGATAATTAAAATTTCTAATCTCTAACTTTGCTCTCACAATCTTTCTTAACAATTGCAGTTAAGTTTTTACATGACAACAGCATACTGGTTCTCTAGTACCTTTGCCTAAAAAATAATAAACTAGGCCATTCGTTAAAGTTTCTTTTTCGCAAGCCGCACGGACTGGCCGTAAATTGAAGAGCACACGCGTCGGAGGTAGATTGTAACGAGAGCCGAGCGGAGCATTCTCTGCAATCTACAGCCAGTTCAAGCTGACGACTCAATAGTTCTTAATAGTTGCTGCCCATATCTGCTTTAGGCCTACATAATATAGAATACGTTCTAGATGCATCGTTTTGATGACAAAATCTTACATTCTGAGGTTGGATTTTTAGAAGTTTTTGGCAGTGACAAATAGCTCTACATTCACACCGAAAATCCAAGTTCATTTTAGACCTCGCTTTTTCAAATTTGTGGGTCTCCTGGGGGCTACCACAAAAACTGTCTTTCACTGTGAAATGCCGACTTTCATTCAAGACACGAGAAACGAATAATTGCATCCCTTTCCCTTCCCCCCCCCCCCCCAAAAAAAAGGGTTGTTAAATCCTTGAAAGTTATTCACATGAGTTATAAAATTGTGGAAGGGGGTGATTCTCAAAATTCTCTAAAAATTCGGATTAACTCTGTAAAAAAAAATCTTCGAGGGCATGGGGCCGGCTAAAATTCTGGAAAGCATCCCAAAAAAATTTTCGGAATGCTTTTCTAACGGAAAGCACCTTCATTTAGAAAAAAAAAGTCAGCAGCGAATTGTTTATTCATATCGAATCTAGTCATTGTCTTTACTTTTCGTCCAACGTCAGCGTTCCAGTGATTTGGTTGCGCATCGACTGACTAACTAGAGGTGGACCTCCAGGGTAAATGCAAATGCCAGTTCCGTTTCAGGATGAGCTGGAAATAAGCGACTGCGTCGCAACGTGCGCGACAGCTTAACGGCGGCAGAAAAAAATCTTTATATACTAAAGTTTTTCTGCGTTTTCGCATGCTGTTTACTAACTTCCAACTATTTTTCAAAGAACTCTATCCTCATTATCCCCTCTGCTCCCCCGCTTGGACAGCAAACCAAACCCTGCAACAATGAAGTCAAGAAATTCCAGTGAAATGAGCACACCAACCAAACCGCCCAAACTTTGATTTCCCCTCTCTTAATTAATTCGAGATTTTTATTGAGACCTGCCTACAACGCTTTTATGCTTCTAGCTGAAAAACGCGGCATAGCATTAGCCGTTCAAAGTAGTTACACTCTATCAATGGAGATTATTGCGAATTTGGACATTGCGACGATCCTAGTCCTTCCCTTTTCTTTCCCAATCTCTTCCTCATTCATCTTTTTTTTCTCCTACTCATTCTCCACTATAATCTACGGATGCGCCAAAATTACCGGCGCCAACTTTGCAACAAGTCACCGAAAAATCTGGAGAGAAACGGGTTCAAACTCATGTCGTATAATGCTGAAATCGTTTCCTACAAATTTTTCCGAGTCCAGAAAGACCATTTTTCAAAAACGTGAAAACCAGAGAAATCAGAATGGTGATTTTGAAAAGAAAAAAATGAAGTTGCACTACAGTCATTGCTCTGCAGGTGAAAACTCATAGGTTTGTTGAAATATTCCCAGGTGAGGTAGGTAGAGTACATGTCGTGCTATCACACAGTCCTAGTCGTATTTGAAGAATCCGTTCTTTCACGATATATGAAAAAGTATTTGCTGAAAATACCCACGTACGAGCAACAACCTCATGTTTAAAATCAGTCTAAAGACCCCAGACATGCAGAACTTCACAGGTAAAAACATTTCTCTAATTATGAGACATGTAGAACATCATCCATTGTGACCGGTTTGTGAGAATGGTTTCAAAATTTACAAGACATTTTATGACTCTCAGACGCACTCAGGAGAGCCAGAATACTACCGCTTATCGATCCGCTGCCTAGCAAGCATGTTTTTGGAAAATATAAATTCCTTTTTCGAATTAGGTTCATATTTCCGCACTTGGTAGGTCACGAGGCTTGCTCTAGTGCGCGATATCGAACGAGAAAAGTTTTTCAGAGTGGTGTACAGTGATAACCTTCCATATAGTTTGTCATTGTTACATTTAGAAGCGTGAGCTCAATAAAGAGGGTCATCTATAAGTCTGAACCTTCAAAACGAAAGTATTAAAGGCCACAAAAACCGAAGAAATATAGTTGATGATGACAGCAAGTAGATTTATAAGGCATGTACATTTATATGAAAGAAAAGAGTTCACAACATTACGTAGTAGAACAATTGAAAAGTCAAAAGGACCCATTGAAAGATACCGGTAAATCATGAAGCAACAAACGGTCATGAAAGTAAAAGAAACAACCTCTATAATAACACACAATCAAAACGCCTAATTCATGTGCACAAAATATAATCCAAAAAAAACAATGAGTAAAGGCTAATCGGTTAGCAAATTGATCTTCAGTTACTGAAGAGCAGTAAAGCTAAAACAAGGGTCTTCTAATGCACTTCGCTGGGCCGGCTAAGGATACTGTCGATTTCAGCCATAGTCTCTTCGCATTCCCCAACAATCTTGTATAACATATTAACTGACTGCTCGCCAGGTTCTGCACCACAGGAAGGATGCACATCATTATTGAGACCATCTATAGTAAGGTGTCGCGTTTCTCCATTCAAAAGTTTTTGCAGGTAATCCACTATCTCATCTCGAATACGAACTATGATCCGCTCCCGGGTTTGCGCTAACATTGGCAAGTTGACGCTGTAACATAGAAATTTGTCAGACGCGGTAGTGACTAAGGGCCGCATGCACTAACATCCCCGCGGGGAGGGGATCGCAGCTTAAAAGAAAGCTTTATATTTCGAAACTCCAGATACCTGGATTTCACATTGTGTACCTATCCGTAAGTATTCCTACTACCCTTCACTATGAACATGTTGAAGAGGAGCGAGAAGCTGTACGAACCGCATTTTCTAGCTTTAGTATGATCCCTGATGATCCCCGGCGCTTTTCTTTAAAGTCATTTTTCTTTCTCCGAAGTCAACGAAAAACCTCCAAAGTTGTGCAGATTATCTAAACCGACAGTGCTAAGCATGTGGCTGATAAGAACAAATGATGTTTTGAAAGCATGAAATTTTCGATGATCCACAGGTCGAAATTTGAGGTTTACCGAAATATTCGACTTTTTAAAAACTCATTTGTTCTCATCAGCAACATGCTTAGCACTGTTGTGTTAGATGTTCAGTACAACTTTGGAAGTTTCTCGTTAACTTCGGAGAAAGAAAAATGACTTTAAAAAAAGCGCCGGGGATCATCAGGGATCATACAAAAGCTGGAAAATGCGGTTCGTACGGCTTCTCGCTCCTCTTCAACATTTTCATAGTGAAGGGTAGTAGGAATACTTACGGATAGGTACACAATGTGAAATCCAGGTATCTGGAGTTTCGAAATATAAAGCTTTCTTTTAAGCTGCGATCCCCTCCCCAGCGGGGAGGTTAGTGCATGCGGCCCTAAACATACGTACAGATCAGTGACGGACCGAGGGGAAGGGTGCCCCCTCCCCCTCATCGAGAATGAGTCGCAAAATTTTTGAAATTTACTTACGTGAGTTATAAATATGTGCAAGTGACTTCTTTATTCTTAGAAACAATTAAAATAATTTTTAAAAATTTATAAAAATTCAAATTATCCAGCCACGCCCCTTTTTTCAGATTTTATGGCTTGGAGACCAGCAAAAATTTTAAGAAACACCCCCTAAAACTTTTTCAGAGTGTGTGGCTGACGACGCACTCCGACGCCTGACGCTTCATTTAAAAAAATTTTGCAACCCCCCCCCCCCCGGACGGAAATCCTGGGACCGCCACTAGCACAGACCAGTGGTGAACCGGGGGAGGGGGCTTTGGTTACTTACATGGACTATGAAAATGTGCAAGTAAATTGTTTGTACTTTCAAATAATCAAAATTTTTTTTAAAAACTCGTGTTAGCATTGTACGAAATTGTTTTGGGGACATGGCTACTGCCACGTTCCTTTTTTTCTAAAATTTCGGGTTCCCCCCCCCCCCCCTGTCTTCCTCTAAACTCTATGCTTTACATGTCAAAGTGCCTAGGAAAAAGCGAAGAGCAAGCGAAAGATGAACAACGGTACTGACTTCCACAGGAATAACTGAACTTTCTTACGAGCTAGTAAAAGCGACGCTAAGTTATAAGCAATGGAGACTGTCGAGATACTCTCCAAAGAAGCGACAAAATTTCCAAACTGAGGCGCATGGGTTCTGACCTAAAGCATATTCCTGATATTTTTACAAAAATCTGAAAAGTTAACCAAATTTTTCTACGCAGTTCATGACACTAGCTATTTATCCAGCTCATGGAACAACTTTTGCAAGTTACCTTTCTAAATTATCATTGAGGAGCAGGGTTTTTCGCTCGTCAGTTCCGTACTAGATCTACTTCCAATTTTACGAACCACTGCCAAAAGGATGGGGGAGAGGGAGAGGGAAATTTGAATACTGATAATGCTTCACAAACTGGACCGCATGGAAAAGAAAGTACATACAAAGTGAGACTAATACTAAAAATACAATTTTCGTACCACTGGCAAGCGTATGCTTTGACAATCCGCACAACTGATGAGTAATAATGCGTGGATGCTGGAATATCATCGTACGTAACATGTTCCAAAAGACCAAATATGCTGCCCAGCTCGGCCGCACATATTTTCTCGCAAAGATCCTGATTCATTTGATCCAACAGCCATGCCAAGACTTTCGACTCGCTTTCCGAGTATAAGTGAGTCTGAACAGCATACTCTTGAAAAGTGGAAGGATCAGCAGAATAATGTAGAGTGGAAAAATGAGGAGGAGAGCAGAGCGAACTATGCTGTTTAACACCCTACTTCTCGAATCAAGCTGCAAAAACTGAACATGACAGAAAAGCAGATTGGTTTGAGACTACAAGCCCAAGAAAATCTACTTTGTCTGGACTCTCGTACTGGCTCACTAGTGTATTTTGATACTTTTTCCACTAATGAGGCATAATCTGTTTTGCTGTAAACACGCTAACCTTCAATTACGAAGTTTACACGCGTTTGTGGGGCATCACAGAATTTTAAAAACGTGGAGAAAACTGCTGTCACAGTACACCTAACGCCACTTGTGCAGGGGATTCGGGATTACGGAAAGTAATAAAATTCATTTCAAAAAGCTACATTAATGACAAAGTTTTCAGATTATCTGAGGTCTCTTCTATGACAATATAGGCTCTCCTAAAGATCTTCCTCAAGTTCAATAAACCTAGTGACACAAGAGAAACCGCAGATCGAGGGTGGACCAGCTCAATGTTGTATTCAAAGGTACACAAGATATACCGAGGTGGGAGAGTTCATAGTGACCAAATACCCTGTTCAAAACCTACCGAACATTACGAGCATTCATTTCAGAATATTGCTAATGTTTCACTTAAAGGCAGCGTCCACCCAGAATTTAACCCCCCATGTTTTCGTCATTCTGGGGCCTTTCCGTGGCCCTGATTACAGTTCCGAACTTCAAACTCTCCAAAATTCACAAAAAACCCTATTCCTGGGGACTCTGTCTTGGGGGCGCGGACGAGTTTCGAATCGCCGTCCCTGTCGGCAGGCAGCGGAAAGGAGCTGCAAGTGCATGGGTGCAATGCGTTGCAGGTCCAGTGTGCAGCTTCTGCTCACTACCTTGTCAATACGTGTCGGGAGGCACGTATTGACAAGGTATGAGCAGTCTCTGGTGAGTGGAGTCTGATATCAGACTCCGCCCAGCCAGGGACTTTCAGGCCCCTTATCTCCATTCAGACAGAGACAACGTTAGAAGACTGGACCAACGCAGATGCCCCTTTTCTGGGGCCTACATTCAGGACCGACACTAATCGGAGGGGGTTAGGTTTAGCCTGGACACTGCCTTTAAAGGCAGCGGACAGGCAAAATGGACCCCTGTCAGATTTTGGTAGTTTCGGGTAGTGGACCCCCCAAGTACACCGTAGCCCCAACCCCACATTCCAATTCATGCGCTGAGTCCTGAAAAAAGCGCTTCAAAACTCCACCAGCCCCGCCCACTTCCATTGAGTGGGCGTTATTGGTGGAAGTTTGAAGCGCTTTTTTTCAGGACTTAGCGCATCAACTGGAAGTTGGGGTTGGGGCTACGGTGTAATTGGGGGGTCCACTACCCGAAACTACCAAAATCTGACAGGGGTCCATTTTGCCTGTCTACTGTCTTTAAGATTGCAGTGACCAGCTTTCAGAAAGCTGTGTCCGCTTTGCATTCATTTTTCAAGAACTCAGGTGTCCTTGATTGCAATTTTCAGCAATCATCAGGTACCGGGCAAAAGCTTACTGTTAGACTGGATTATCGTCAACGATTTTTTCACATGAGCTGCCGCTTGAAAACAGTGTCCAGGGAAGAAGTCGACTTAGGCAGTATCCGGCCAGAATGGGGGTTTTGGGATGCCAGTGCCATGCGAAAGTGCCCCCCCCCCGAACACAACATCGCGCAAGTGCGAGGTCACACCGCTCGACCTAAAGCGAGAAAAACGACCCGAAAGTGGAGAAACTTAGGCCTTGGGGCGGGGTCCTCCGACGTGTTCGAGTTTCTGCTATGCGGCCGAGTGCGCATGCCGCCACAGTTATAATCGTAGGGTCAAGGACTCTGCGTCTCAGCCTTGGCGGGGACCGTTGAATTTTGCGTTGTAAAGCTTTGGAAGACGCATGTTCTTGCCGTTTTCGCGCTTTCTAATGTGGATTTTCAGATTCAGCGTTGCGGATAACTTCCGGTAAGTGGATTTTCTAGAAACCAAGTTTTTGGCCGGACACTGCCTTTAAAGGCAGCGTACACCCAAAGTTTCACCTCCGATGTTTTTGTCATTCTGGGGCCTTTCCGTGCCGCTGATTACAGATATGACATTGAAAACTTCCAAAAGTCCCAAAAACACCGATTTCCGAGGACCTTCTCTTCAAAGGGAGGACGAGTTTCCAACTGCTCGGCCCCGTCGGAATGCAATCGAAAAGCAGCTGCAACAGCATGACAAACTGTAGTTGCAACTGCAAATGCTACGTATGCTGTCGTGGATTCGTCGTCCGAAGGAGGCAGAACGCAAGAAGCAACTGCATTGTTGCATCTGCTGTTGTGTTGGCAACAGTAGGTGCAACTGCAACTGCAGCTTACGCTGTCGTGGATTCGTCCGGAGGAGGCGGAATGAAAGAAAAGGGGTGGTATGAAAAAAAATTGAGGGGGGTTTTCTCCGCTCAGAAGCAACATTGGGAGACCGGACCAACTCAGTTGGTCTTCTTCTGGGCCCAGTATATACACGGTATAGAAAAATCTAGAAATTAGGCAACTTAGATTTTGGGTGTACGCTGCCTTTTATAATTTTGTGCTTACCTGGGTATTCCTATGCTGAATGCGAAAATCCACAGTGGAGAGCGCGAAAACGGCGAAAAGGGCTCTAACGCAGGAGGAAAATCAGCAGGTGGACGGAGTCTCGATTCTGTCGAGTCTATCTCCCAGCTTCAGGTGCAATCTTCTCGGTTCCGATACCAAGTCGCGCGTTCGCACTTGACCGTTGGCGATATTAGGCTGCTAACAGAAGCGGGAAGATTTCCGGAAGCTGGGAGGACGAAATCGTAGAGTGGAAGCGCTCTTCCACCTACTGATTTCCCTCCGGCGTTAGAGCCTTTTTTTCGCAATTTTCGCCCTCTCCAATGTGGATTTTCGGATTCAGCATAGCGGATAGATCTAGGTAAGCGCAAAATCTCAGAATCGCTTCTCGCTCGGGCATTGCCTTCAAAGCCACCTTCCACCCTAATTCTAGGCTTCTACGTTTCGGTTCCAGGGCCTTTCCATGTCCCTGACCGAAAATGAAGTCGAGAATTCGCTAAAACCCCGACAATGCCCGTTGCGGAGAACACGTAGGCCGGTTCTCCGGAACGCTGATTGGATGGGTGCGCAAGGAAGGGCGGGGATTACCGGAGGGGGCGACGCCGACTTGGGATTCTCATGCCACCTCGCTATACCGAAGCAATTTTCTGGCTTCGGAAGCGGCATTTTGCACCGCGACTAGGGCATTGACTGTATAGTTGCTTCTACAATCGTAATCTGCCAATAAAGAGCCCTAACTTAGAGTGGACGTGCCTTTAAGCAATAGTTGATTAGATGCTCTTCAACGAAAATCAATAAAGCCCGGACAAATATTTGTATTTACACCTGTACCATGTTTGAAAATTCTAAGGACAACCAGCTGAGAGCAGTGTTTAGCCGAATTTAGAGTGGCGCTTTATAGCAGCATTCCCCCTCCCCTTCCTTCCACCAGACGTCCTCCAAAAGAGGCGGCGACATGGTGTTGCAAGGCTACTTGCCATTCACAACCGCTTCAAATCTCTCACACATACCGCAGCACAGTAGCGTATCGGCGCTTGACCTGTAATATGGAACTAGTAATGAAGTAGTGTCCAGACTCCAACTCATAACCCCTAATAGTGCAACTGTCAGGCATTTGAAGGCGCATCGGTTTTTCTCAAGGTTAATGCATAATTCCGCACTTTCAACAGACCCGTGACGACAAGAAGCCGAGACGAAAACCCATTTCGTTTTTAACATATATGACAAGTTTCCAGGGTATGTCTGATAGAAGGATGGACAGCAATTACTTCACAGATATGGAAAAAAACAGAGACTTTGACTAGATTCTCTGTAACCACATAAAGAACCTTGAATAGAAGGTTCTTGGTAACTGCACTGTAATTTCTTAATGAGACTCAATTACTATAAATCAGATTTTAGACATAAGACGTTAAAAGAAATCACTAGGCGTACTATACGAGAAGGATTACAAGTAGTCTATAAAGTGAAAGGAGAGGAAAGATTTATGCGAAATTAAAATGTCATCGTTGCCTCCAGAGACATAACGAGCGAATTCGACAACAAACACGCCTGCGGCGATCCACTAGCGTGAAACAACTTGGTCCGCAAGACTTAGCTTAGTCCCGAGAGCCGATAACACACGAGGAAGTCACGATATGAAGCGCCAGAGATCTGATATGCTACAAATCCGCAAACTCGAGGACTCACCTCACTGACAATCCTTTTTATAACATTTCTGAGCAGCAGTACCCGAAGTTCCAACGGAAAACATAATATAATGTCCTGAGACTTTTTGATGATAACATATTTATGTGGCTCCACGTCAAAATCTTCGATAAATCGTAGAAGAAGTGCAAACATTTCCTAGAAAATTAACTGATTCCACTTGCACTAGAGTACCTAGAACACAATGAAAGAGATCATCTTACTGCGTAAATGTCGATGTGTCTCGCATATGCATCCCGGCAATCATAACAGAGTTTATGCAAAAACTTCACCGCATTAGCTAGAGGCTTGATAACTGTTCCTACGCAGCTAAAATAACAACTCTGCATAAAACTAATGGATAAGAAGAACTCATACTCACTTGAAGTCGTTACTTTTGATGTATTCGCATACACCTTCAACTAATCGCAACTGAAGAAATCGGAGATCGTAAACATTCGGTATCAGCACAGTTGGTTCTGTATGACCTACTGAAGCGGAGTACAAAGCTGAGGGTCAGATGTGCTAGGCCACTCACACAGTTTCGGAGAAAAAGGATGTTCTCTAGCGTACCACACCAAGAAAGGATAGGCTGCAGCCTCGTCCGATGCAATCTCATTCAGGACACCGTCGACAAGCTTCCCAAATCTCAAAAGTATAGATGTTACTGCAAATTATGCATAAACGCAATTCAACGGTGACTCACTTGTAAGGAACTCTGAAAGGAATTTTGTCGAAAAATGCAAGGACATGAGCGGATTCCACTATAGCATACCACAAGTCTTCTTCCGAACTGGCGAGCCGTTCGCAAAGCCTTCTTTCCAGTTTAATGGGTAAATCTTCACAAACTTGTTCCCATAATTCCGGACTGGAACAAATTCAATTTGCTTTCTACAGCTACCACAAAAATGATAACAATTAAGACGCCAATATAAGGATACTCTTCTAACTTTCAAGCCTTTACAATCATGCCACATAGAAGGTTAGATTTAGGAAACTGTGAAACTATAATACAACCTGCCATATACTATCATCCTCGAAATGAATTTGTTCAGTACCGAGCTATCACTATTTGATCTTCACACATACAATCGTTCTAATCCCCCGACAATGAAGGAATTTTCCAACAGGGGCAGTCCATTGATCGACGTTTTTATTAGCACGCTCAACGTTTCTGAAGTTTGCGCCTGGGCTCCTCCCCTTTTTTGTCGTTGATTTTGCACACAGGGTGACATATTCATTCTGGGAAGTTCTAGGCGCGCCAAAAAAAGAACTCAAAACAATACATTCAACTTCGAAACTGCAACGCAGATAAGACAGATTCACTACAGCTCATTTTCACACCATTACTTGCCAGCAAAATTGACGAGGCCACAGCACGAAAAACAGCAAAAACGACGAAAAATCAAAAAAAAAAATTCATGGGACTTCAGCTGAAGGCTAAGGGCGCCGTGCTTAAAGGCAGTGTCCGGGCAAAAAGTCGATTTTGAGAATTTGTGCTTATCCGGGCCTATTCGCTACGCTGAATCCGAAAATGCACATTGGAGAGCGCGAAAACAGCAAAAAACGGCTCTAACACGTGAGGGAAATCAGCAGGTGGGCGGGGTTTTCCCCACTGTAAATTCACGCTCCCAGCTTTTAGAGCAATCTTCTCGGTTCCGATTTCAAGTCATGCATTCGCACCTGGCCGGTGGAGATCTCAGAGCGCCAGAGGAATTGGGAAGATCGCTCCAGAAGCTGGGACTGCGAAATTCACAGTGGGGAGGACTCCGCCCACTTCCGATTTCCCTCCTGCGTTAGAGCCCTTTTTTGCCGTTTTCGCGCTCTTCAATGTGCATTTTCGGATTCAGCGTAGCGAACAGGCCCGGGTAAGCACAAAATCCCAAAATCGACTTTTTGCCCGGACACCGCCTTTAAGCACCACCGGCCTGCTCCAATTAAAACTGAATTTCGTCCATACGCACATACCTATTATACACCCATACGGGAAAGGAGGAGACGAGGAGACGCGTCACATCGCGCTGCTCTAGGTATCGTAACAGTCTTTTCCTATCTGTCTTATGAAAGTTAGTATGCTTAGTATCTATCGGAGTATAATGGATGAGAGAACATTGCCAATATATATTATCAGTGGCGTACCCAGGATTTCGGCTCGGGGGAGGGGGGGGGGAGACAAATAATTTTCTCTGATGAATGTGCGCGGCGGCAGCCATGCACAAAATTTTTGCGGGCTCATATCCCTGAAATTTCATAAAAAGGAGGCGTGGCGTCAGAACGCCCGAAAAGAAGGAAAAGAAAAAACTAATAACAACAACTTACTGACAGAGCACAAAATTCTCTGTAATCAGCAGACCCAGTTGATTTACAAGCACATCAGTAAGGAGCGGTGACGTACGCCAGACCAGCAGTTCGTAACAAATTTGAAATTTCTCTGGCACATTTGTAATCGAACTGTAAAAACACTTATAACAATATTCAATCGAAAGAAAACCACTTACTCGAAGAGTCGAATGAGCAGCAACTTCAAGCAAGAGTTGTTTTCATTTCCAAAGCTATAAGCAACTTTATAAATAAGATCCTGGGCAACCAAAGCAAGGCGACCTGAATAAGGTGGACCCCATATCCGACATATCCACTTAGAATGAAAAGAAAACCCACCATCTGTTTCTAGGTCGCAGCTATTTGCGATTAATACTCCCTCTTCAAAATTACCCTGCTCGATCACTTCCAGCAGCCGCAGTGCAGGTTCAAGAAAGGTCATCCTTCACCGGCACCGGAGCCGACCTGGCTTCCTCATTCAGAAGATCAAAACAGAGTTCTATTTGAAAGCTGAAGATCTGAAGCGTCTCCTCAAGCGTAAAGCAAACAGCTTATGTTGCATGTACTACATAGAAGTGTACTGATTATGACAAGACATGTATATCCGCTAGAATTTATTGGAATCTCCTCTAAAGAATCAAACCACCAGTACAAAGGAACGATGAAAAGAATTATGTAAAGTGCAAATACCTAATGCGAAAAATCACATTCAGAAATATGAGAAAGCAACGGCTTTCCCGCCATTATTCGTAAGAGCAAGAAAGTAACAAAAACCGATCAAAACAACAATGGGAAAAATATTCTTAACTTATAAACGACACTCAGATTACTTGCCAGCAGTTGCTTCAGCGGCTCTCCGCGCTGCTGCTCGTTTGCCAACCATAGCCGTGAAACCGCTCTTGATCGCAGTGACGGAGCACCGTGATCCACATGTTTGGCATTGTAAGAAGAAAAGGCGGGTATCTTTTGTGAGCTGTGTGTCGGAAGAACGACATGTATGACACATCACATACTCCTCTGTAAATTCAAGGTCATAGTGAGGACCACAAAGGCAAAATAGATGCCAAGTAAAAGCTCTTCAACTCACTAATGTATTTCCTCAAAACGCTTTCGAAATGTTTTTGTTGGAATCGACCCTTCACAATCAGGCAGTTGTTTCCATCAATTGAACCAGTGGTACCTGAAAACACAAATGGAAAGAACTTGTACTATTTATCATTTTTCCATTGGTCTTGCAGCAAGAGGTGACTGCCAGTCATGCAGAATCATGGCTTATCAAATAAGCTTTCTCAAGAAGAAGTCTGCATCATCATGATAAAAACGAAAGCATTTGAACCTGATGTAGAAGAACTAGTGCCAATTATTGGACGTGAAACCAATGCATCAATCCCCTTTCTGTTTGCATGTAGTGAACGATGATAGCGGAAGATCACGAGGCAACTAAGTTTACGTTGGGACCACAATCCGCAGTCAAATCAACGAAAAGAACTATGTTTCAACACTGTCAGATGATAGAGCTGTGCCTACGGTTGATCGCAATTCTATATTGGATCCCTCGCTAATCCAAACAAGGGATAATACGAATGTAGACCCAAAAAGACAAGTCCCAAATAAAAAGTACCATTTCTGAACCGATCCGGACCAAACTTTGCACACATGAACTCCGAGGCGGAGCGGTGCCGTAAGCTACTTTTCGTTATCGATCAATATCAATTCGACAGATAATCAAAAATTGCGAGCTACGGGGTTGGAAGATGGACAGGAATTAAGTGATGCTGGTTAGTTTTAGATTTAGCTATTACCTTTATTTTGTCGATTTTCTGCAAAACTACGGAGAACATAGGAAGACAGGGTACTTTTATATGGAGGTGGGAAACAGGGAAATGTTGTACGCAAATATGACAAGTGATTTCCATCGTAGTATATTAAAAGAAAGGAGTGGAGCCAGGTATGCCAGTTACTTAACACATTCACGACAGAGCCGATTTTTCGATGACTGCCATTTCGGACCAGAGCATATTTTGCGAAATTGAATTTGCGTGATATTTTCAGGTCACTGATGGGTCCTGTGGTCTGAATTGTTAATCTTTTGGGAAGTACTCCGAGACGTGTATACAGGAGTTTACTCGGTTTGCCTAAAAGGTTTGACCGTGAACTAGCAAAATTAAAAACTTCAGAAAGCGTATGACCCACCGGTGGGTCGTATTGTCCGAAATGGCAGGACACGTACGACCCACCGGTGGGTCGTATTGTCGTGAATGTGTTAATAATATGCAAAAAATGAAGAAAGCAAAATATAATGAAAGAGATACGATGAAAAAAAGCCATACCTAGTTCAGCTAACAGGAACTGAAGAACGTGCTTGTCTTGGCGTTTCATTAATCGGCAAATTTCAGCGAAATTTGAGAAAGCAGTTTTCTTACTTCCAGCACGAGCGACCTAAACGTTTTACATTCGGAAAGAAATCACTACCAGAAGGATGCATACTTCAGGCGGTTTCATGGCGAACTTCTTCTTTTCACCAGACAATTCAGGATTCTTTTCACGCATAATGTTGAAGACAAGGGTCAAGCACTCATCATACGTATAATCCGGCCATGGTCGTTTGGCATCGATGAGATTTGTAACACCAATACCTATCCCTAAGGATAATCAACAATTGTGCGTTCTACAGCATGAGAAAAGGAGTGAACTCTACAGCACCTAAATCTGGCAAACCGTCGTCTTTTTTCTCTTCGTCTTCTTCAACTTTCACCTTCTTCTTCTTTTTGCCTCCAAGTTTTAGCTCTCCTCAAAAACAGATGATTATATCTGTTTATGCGTTATTATATGTAGGTGATCTGAACCAATCAAAACGATTACCTAAATCGTCTGCAACAGCTTCAGGAGTAGGCGCTGGTGGTTCATCATCGTCAAGTTTGATTACTTTCTTTGTCTTCTTTTTCTTTCCTAAGTGAAGCTCCTAAAACAAACACTCAAAGAAACGAAGTTGTGCGACTACGAAGTTTTGGCTTACAAGATCGTCGTCACCCATTTTGTAACGTAGCGAGGTTGCCACCTGGAACATAACATGATCTGATGATGCAAACAATACTAATTATTCAAGACACTTTTGAGATGGGCAGCAATGTGACCATAGGGCATGGTCAATCTATGCGGTAAGCTCATAGTATCAAACTATTACTCACACTAATGAAAATTTACATAGATAAAGCTGTAAAGACACCAAAACATTGTGAGGAGAAAGTCGAAAGTTGTATTTTAGCGTGAGTGAATTAATTAGGTGCATTTGCGTCTGCTACTACGGCAAACGCCTTATTCCCCAGATTCCCGCAATAAAAGTGTATCGCAAAAAGATGCGCTAATGTTTTGACTGAGACTACCACAAAACTGGAACCCAAACCCAGTTATGGGCAGACTCAGAATCTTTTAATCTACCAACGCAAGTGGTGCTGATCTACAACGGAATTTGAAGAGCCAAACCCACGGTTTTGCTGGAGTTCTGTCAAGAAAGTCTATAGGCACGTTGTACATGAATATCAAGTTGATGCACGGCAACGCCGTTTTCTGAGACGGTAGGAGTCGACGAGTCAAAATTTCGTATTTGCCTAAAAATTTAGTTAGGAAGGTCCTCCAACATGCTGATTATGAGTGCTATGCCAATTGAGCATTAGCTATTTCTGTAGCAGAAGTTCATGCTATCAAAAGGGATCGGCCATAGGTTGCCTGCAACTGCTGCCGAAGTTGCCGAGGTTGCCGGCTGTTGTACCCCATTATGTAAGCCCGGCGACATACCCTCCTACTTTACTATTACTGTGATATCAAAGTCGTACGTTCCAGATGAAATCAAGATTTTCCATGTTTCAGGCAAAACGAGAACACGCAACATATAATGGCTTGTTTACCACTCCGCTCCCCAGCATAGCTTTAGGCCAATGAGGAGACGCCAAAGGGAGAAATCTTCGCCCTTTGATGATGAAATATGCTGATCTTCGCGATTATGTCCTGCTGTGGCATACTTTTTGGCATACTTGATCCGCTTGATCCACTTTCCACTTCGCTATTGGTCAGTTCGCCGACTTGACCAATAGCGAAGTGGATAAAGTGCGCAAGCGGACCAAGTAGATCAAGTATGGCTGTGCCCTTTGCTTCATGATAAAATACTACAATCTTTGTTCTAGTCTACAATGCCAAATTTCGTAAGACTGAATGCGCGTGCTATATTGGTCATTATACCTAGGGAAAATCGAGATTTTTTCGAATAAAAAAAATTTCAGAACATTCGACTATCAAATAATATTCGAAATCGAAATTCGAATATTCGACTTTCGAGTAGTATTCGACCATCGAATGTCATTCATTATTCGAATTTCGAATATAATTCGGTTTTCGAATATTATTCGGTTTTCGATTAATTTCGATTCTCGAATACTACACGTAAAGGATATTCGTCGACGACTGCCCCTACTCGTGCAATTACACCACCTTGGGCAAGTCTTATTGGGGCCTTTCCAGCTTGACAGTACGCCGCAGCGAGCGGGGACTTGATAGCTCGCAGCATCCCTGTCCTTTCCCTGTCCTGTCTTGTCCTACTGTGAAGCTGGAAAGGCTCCCAAAAAGCACGCCCGCGGTGGTGTAATTGCACTAGTTGGGGCAGTCGTCAACGAATATCCTTTATCAATGTAAATGAGATGACTGCCTTTCAGGTAAACATCTAACAGTAAGTTTCTTCATTTAAGTATTGAAATTAGACACTTTTTTATGTTACAATTTACGATTAAAAAACGGCTTAGTGACATCAGGAAATTTAAGAACTTAAACGCGTATTCCTTTGACGATTGTGAAGAGTTTATAACACTTCAAAAAATATTATGTATCCTCCAAGTTGTGGGTTGATATGACTGAGTCCCAGAAGTATGTAGATCCGTGGGCTGACATCAATTTAGACTTACAGTTTGGAGCGACCCATCATCGATCGCTCTTCACTGTAGTAAAATTACCGTAGAAAAATTGCAGAGGGTTTTGAAATATTAAAAACCGGTTTGCCCGAGAAAAGGAGCCAAAAGGCCGAAAATCATGCATTGAACTTCTAAAGACAATCCTACATATAAAATTTGCTTTGAAGTGCGATGCTTTTTTTCACAACTCATGGCAGGTACGAGTGTTTTTCAACTCCTTTCAAAAACGTGACTGCGCATTTGAAAAGGTTGAAAAACTCGTGCGTAGTAAAATCAGCATTCGTAAAAACTCTGCTATATGCAGAATTTTTTAAACATTTTTTTGGAGAAATTCTTTCAGATGTCTTATTCTTTTAGATGTCTTATCCCGCAGCTGCTTTAAAAAGCTGGAGGTTCCTATCGTAATCTCACAGTAAGAAAATTATGATTGGTTCGCTTTTTGCTGAGTGTGCTACAGCCATACCTACAGGATCTTACATATAGGTTGGCAAAAAACTTCGTGAGAGGTATTAACGATAAGACAATATTAGATACTTGGGACACCCCGTAACACTACGGATGTTGAATTTTCGAATATTCAACGTTCTCGAATTTTCGACTAGTCATCAATGCTCATCGATTTTTCGAATACTGGAATATTCGATGGACATCGAATGATCGATTCGATGACCATCAAATTTTGACTATTGAATGATATTGAAAGTTGAGATTTTAATATTCGACTTTCGAGTAATATTTGATAATGAAGATTTTCAAATATTTAACTATCGAAATATTATTCTGGTCAACCTCATTATCCTACCTCCAGTGACTTTTGCAGAGCGTAGAAATGTTTCGCTGACTTATAGTAGTTTCCTCAGCAGTACTAAATCTCCGCTCTCCTTACAATTAGCTTCTACAGATTTGCGTTTTCGATAACACATAACATGTTCATAGCCATGCTGACTGATTTCATTGCACTCGCTTTTCCCACTCAATATTTTACGAGTTTGAATACCATAGCTAACCACGACTTACCAAGTATCATTCCTCTGTAAGGCGCTATTCACGCTCGCACTATTCTTCAATCAAACGCAAATAATCAGTACTGGCTCGAAAACCATTTCTAAAAATTGTCCTCGTTACGTATTTGGCGGACGAGTTGCATCGGCTCACATGCGTTTGTGCGGGAGCCCATCAGGTAGGCGTCGCAATTTGCGTTATCACATGAACAGTACGAGACCCCATTCGGTTACCAAGTCCAATGTGCCACGATTGGGTGGACACTGCCTTTCAAGGAACTTAATTTGTGAGAAGTTCATGGAGCAAGTACCGACCTGTCACAATCAAAATCTTTCTCTCGCTACAAGTGCATTTTTTCATGGTTTAAATTACTGCTGGTCATTCGTTCATGGTAAAATGCTGGTCTTTCGTTGATTACCAACTCCAGAAGTCAAAAGTGGAGTAAACATTCAACGACCAACGGTTAAGTACTGCTCATTGGCGCAACTTATGCATTTATTTCGCATCAAACTCTGGCTTCTTGATACATCAAACAACAAGCACATATCCTTTTCCTAAAATACATGAGATTTGAAGCCATGAGCCATAGTTACATTTAGGTCAGCATATCTTGTGAGAAAAGACGGTAGACGTCGCCAGAACATATATTATTATTGCCCATAACGTCTCCGCGAATTTCGATAGTGATCGTTTGAATCTTTAAGAGTTGAGAAAACCATTTTCAAGAAATCATAGTCAGTTTATGTATCGTTACTTACATGATAGTGTTTCATATAAAAGCGAATTTTGCTGTTTGCGATCTATACAGCTGGCGTATGTTATTGGTTGGCCACAGCTCTGATTATGTTTCGATTTTAGTGGCCATATTCATCAACGAACCCTGAGGGTTAAATATACCCCCAGGGTTAGTTTAACCCTCAGGGTTCATTGACCGTATTCATCAACCATAGGGTAGGGTTTGCCACAGAACGCAATCCACCCGTATCGATCAACGAACCTGTGGCCGTATTCATCAACGAACCCTATGGCCAATGAACCCTGAGGGTTAAACTAACCCTGGGGGTAAAGGCGTCAGTTACGCGTGTGCTGTGCAAACTCACATCACACAATGCCTAACAAGGGAAGGATACCAACATTAGTTGACAACTGAAGATGAGATGTATATCATTAGATGCGCCTTTGAACGCTGATTCCAAATCTGCTTTCTTTTTCTGCGGAATAAATTTCCGAAAGGAGTTATGAGCGTTTGAACGTCCAAATTTGCCAGGCTTAAAATCAGCGAAAAAGCTCTAAAACAACACCCATTGGATTTCCAGCAGCTTTGTTCCTTCCTTGCAAGCAATATACTCGATACAAAAATGATTTTCCACCTTCCGGTGTTTTCGTACAGCTTTTCGCCAATTTTAGGTCACCTAACTTTGAAAAATATGGACATTCATACGCTCATAACTTCTTTCGGAAACTTATTCCGCAGAAAAGGAAAGCAGATTTGGAATCAGCTTTCAAAGGCGCGTTTACTGACCTGCATCTCATCTTCAGTCGCCAACTAATGCTGGTATCCTTCCCTTGTAAGTACTTGCTAAATTCACTTTATACTTCTAATCTTTCACTGTTATGTAGTACAATGAACGAATAAGCTTCTGACACTAGTTTTTTTATAATACATCTCTAGCATATTTGTGCAGCATCCAATCTTAAGCGTGAGTTTGTTTTCATGTGAGCAATTGTGCCGTTTAAGTTCTACTTTTGCGCAGTTCGTTTTATACCGGGCTTGTGCTACTCTTTTAGGGGTCAATGCGTGTTATTATAAAGTGGTTCTTCTGTTTTGGCACTTGTCAGAGTGGAATGCGCAACCATTTTTCCTCGTCGCATTCATTTGTCACCAAAGCTAGAATTCTTTTTCTCGCAAACTCAGTGTTTCATGTACTTCAAATATGAACATAAAACGAAGTCGAAACTAAATACTATAACAACATTCTATTACTGAACACTATAATACTCGTTGATCGTTTTTCATAAAACTGTTAGATGCGATGTTTGTATGAAGCGTCAGGGTAGAGCTAACCTTGCTTTAAGCTAGGGTTAGATTAACCCTGATGAATTACGTAAGTTTTACCCTCCAGGGTTAGTTAACCCTCAGGATCCGTTGATGAATACGGGTTATTCGCTTTTGGGGGTAAGATTTACCCTCAAGGGTAGATTTAAGCCTCAGGGTTAAGCCTACCCTGTGTTTCATGAATACGGGTTAATCGCTTTCCAGGGTTAAACTAATCCTCCAGGGTTAGTTTAAACCTCAGGGTTGGTGAATACGGCCACAGATTTGATGTCACGGCTGTATGATTGTTCATGCATCTTGAATTATTCCCGAACAAATGCTGTAACATTATGAGAATGCATGTATACAGGGTGCCCCAAAAAATGTGTCGAACGTTTGATCTCTATAACTTCCTTATATGGAAAGTTTTCGCGGATCTTTGGGTGCCATGCGGTAGGGCTAGCTTCAACTTATTTACAGTATAGAGCGAATTTCCGATTTTTCTTAGCTACTGTAGGATTACGGTGGAAATTTTTGACTAATTCTAGGCCTCTGAGAGACGAGAATTATTTTCAAAAGATTCCAAGAAAAAAAAAGGACTTGAAACTAAGGTTATCGCGGATGCTGAATCTAATTACAAAGCCTCCGTACTCCGAGGCTTCTTACGTTAAGCGCACTGTAACGCTGAACTTTTGGCTTTTTCCAGAATTTAACGTTGTCTTTGTCAAGCAAAGATCAGTTGAGCATTTAAGACTTCTTCTATCTTTATTAATTGCAAATAACGAGTCAAAAAATTACAAATTCAGGGTTCAAACACAACAAATAATTTTATTTGATTTCACTGATTCGATTGATTGATTTCGACGTGTTTGTGACTGCAACGTTGATTTAGTAAAATTTAGGATAAAAGCCAAAAATTCAGCGTTAAGTGCGCATACCGTAAGAAGCCATGAAGTATGGTGGCGGAAAGCGTTGTAATTAGATTCAGCATCCCCGGAGACTTTTGTTTAAAGTCCTTTGTTCTTTTTTTGAATCTTTTAAAAGCAATTCTCGACTCTCAGAGGCCTAGAATTAGTAGAAATTTTCTACCGTAATCCTACAGTAGCTAAGAGGGATCGGTGATTCGCTCTATACTGTAAATCTAAGTTGAAGCTAGCCCTATCGTATGGCACAAAGATCCGCGAAAGCTTTCCACATAAGGAGGTTATTAAAGATCAAACGTTCGATACATTTTTTTGGGACTGCAAAACGTGAAAAGAAATTCCGACTATAGAACATTCTAGAAACCATCACAGTAAGCAACCACAGTTCTCTGTGGCTTTTAATTTTTTGGTTAGAAACGACTCTTGCAGTTTTTCTCGACTTTTTCCTTGAATTTTCCAAAAAGGAAAACATTTCACAGGAAACTTTGAACATTATCTGAAAGCTTTTTTTCTAGATTTCATTTGAGTTAATCCGTTTCGTACCGTGCATTGAATAACAAGTGATAGGTTCCACAAGTTTTTGCTCGAGATACAGCCCCAGAATGTTTTTTGAAAGTTTCTGAAAACGAGCTGTGAAACGCTCCAAACTCATTAGAGGGTTTTCTGAAGATATCTGACCACTGCGTCGGCGGTCTTCCTCGTTCGCGTTTCACGTCCAGCGGCATCCAATCTGTCACAGCTCTTGTCCACCGGTTGTCGTGAAAACGCATTCGTGTCCGGCCCATCTTATCTTGTTCTGCTTGACATATGCGGCAGCGTCCCTGATCTTCAGTCGTTGACGTAAGGAAGAACTCAGTATTCATCTTTAAGTTGTGTTAGTCGGTGCACTCCTAGAATATCTTTCTCAGCAGCACGTTCGATGACGCCTGCATGTTCATCCTGCTTCTTCATAGTCCATGTTTGAAGCGTACGTTAAAGCAGGAAGAAGTTGAAGTTGAACAGGTGGGCGCAAATCCGGATTTTCCTAGTCTTCTTCACTACGTCCTCAGTTGTCTTCTGTCCCCATGCTGCTCGTTTCCTCTTGCTCAGTTTCGGTGCTAGTCGTTCGTTATGTTGATTTCCCGACTTAGGTAGGTGTAGCTCGAGTATTTGGTGATATTAGTTCCGTTGAGCATGAAAGGAGCATCAGGCAGTCCTTTCTCATGAGCATCGTCTATGCAGCTTTAGGCCTATCTTTCCACACACGTCGTCCAATCTCCAGTCTCAGCCGAGTCAGAGGCCTTCTTCAAGTTGATGAAAGTGAGACAGAGCGGCATCTTGTATTCTCGTGACAGTTCGATGAGCCTTGACACCGCGTGTATGTGGTCTACAGTGCTGAATCCTCTTCGAAACCCAGCTTGCTCGCATTATCCTTCCTTTGATTCTCTTCCGATCCTGTTGAGATTTATGGTGTGAAGAATTGTAGACTGTATACAAGAATAGGGCTAGAGTTTCCGATGTTATGGGGACGCCCTTCTTGTACAGCTGCATGGTCTTGCTGATCTTCCATTCACTTGGAACCTTTCCTCCAACACGCACCGTGTTAAAAGCCTTGCCTGAGTTCTGATAAGAACTGGCGCAAAATTCTTTTGTTAATTTCTTAATCCTATCGAAACCGGGTGCTGTATGATTCTTCATCGACATAATAGCATGAAGAATCCCAGAAGGAAGAGCAGACGGTTAGACATATTCGTCCTTCTAACGTGAATTGAAGGCGGGTGGACGGGCTGTTAAAGAGAAAGAGGTCTGAGTAGAAGTCGTGAATAACCCTTTCCATTGATAGAGAAGACTATGGTTCTGTCAGGACGACGAAGTGCGGTTATCTTTGTCTCAAAGTTGACGAAGCTGCGGCGGGCGTGGCGTTTACTTCTTTCCAGTCTTCGCGACGTCAACCATAATTGCTAGACGCTTTGCTCCTTAAGTTTTTTATCGATTCTCTGCATCGATTCGCAAGCTCATCTTGAAGTCAGTCGGGTTGAGCGTGGCTCGAGCTTGTCTACGTTGGCGTATCAGCTCCAAAATCTTCGATGTAAGAAGCTTTTCATACTTCCTAGAATCTGAGCTTCCTCAGCACAATCTTGGAGTTATTGAACAAACCGTTCGTATTCTTCGTCGATGTTGGCAATCAGGTATCTCGCCATGTGCCAGTATCGAAGAAAACAGATCCCAACGGATGGTATTCATGGAACGATGTTTCCTGAGCTTAAGAATGGAGAGAGAGCTTTCCTGGCTCTCTCTCCATTCCGCGGAAAGTAGGATTTGGCGCGTAGGAGACGATGGCTTGATCCCGTGTAGAACTTCGGAGCAACAGCGACGTCCACCAGGCAGTACCTTCTGTTGACGATGATGTGGTCAATCTCGTTATGGTACTCTTCTTCGGGCGATTCCCAAGTCAAGCGTCGGGAAGGAGACTTTTCAAACTTGAATTTTCATGGATGGTCCTCGTTAACATGATGAACTCGGACAGTCTCTCCCCTTGTCCGTTCCACTTAGTCCATGGTTCCCGATGTGAAGCTCTGCAGGCGACCTTCTGGCTCCAATCCTTGCGTTGAAATCGCCGATGTTGTAGAAAGTGTGGTCTTCTCTTTAGAACTTCTCCAAGTTCATATAAAATGCCTCGATCTCATCTTCGTCGAGCTGGATGTTGGCGTACGCAATGAAGACGGTTAAGGCCGGGATTGATCTGCTCTTGATATTCGCAAATGTCCGGTTTGGGTTGTGAGTTGTTCGAAACTATGTTCTTGGCCATGGCCAAGCTATGGCCAAACTCGCGTTGACAAGGATTCCTATACCGCCTCTATTGTATGTTCTTGTAAACATTTTTTCTTTAGTCTCAAATGTGGCGTTCAGCAAGTGGTGTCTCCTTGTCTCGGCCAGCCCATGACGTCTCACTTGACCTTCCTTGCTTGCATCATGAGGTCTTCAAAAGATGCGTCCGATGCCAGCGTCCTTGCGTCGTAAGTACCGATAATCATCATTGTCCGTCACGCTTTCGGCAGATCGCTTTTCAGTCCTTTTCCTCACTGATGCTGCCTTACCAGTGGCTCTTCCAAGATTAAGAGCTTCCCATAATTTTGCTAGATCGAACATAATTTTACTCACAGAGGTAGCTTGTTGGGCTTAATACCCCGCAAGAAACGACCAGAGCTTATTTGTTGGAGGCGATTCCGAACTTACCTACCCACAGTCCACGCGGGGAATTAGGATGTAAGCTTGTGGAGGCAGGAATCTATTCTCAGCTCTGCTTGCTTATCAAAACAAGCGCGGGATCGTTTTTGTTCGGCGATCATCCCGCTATCCGCTATACGGAGACGCCCTACGTAGCCTCGCGACTAACCTGTTGTGATCCCTCTATCCGGAAGATCCATGACTTGTGCTATATATATGCACATTGAAACAAGACTTCCAAAAGATCCCGTACTGAAGAGACTTCAACGTAAACTTGCTTGCTGTACTTTAGCGACATGAAAAATCTTTGCTCGCAACCTATTGTACTATTGCATAACTTTTGTTATATAAGGAAATGTAAACCATGAGCTTCTGGTATTAGGAAAATGGGGAGTTGTTTCCGTTTTCTTACTACCGGGAATCCTTTGAAAAAAGTAGAACAAATCGGAAACCCACTCTTCCCCCCCCCCCCTCCTCCCTCCCCAAAGAAAGTAAAAGAAATAGCTACGTACGAGTAATCACCTTCGAACAAAATTATTTCGTTGTTGATACAGTGGTCTCTCTAGTGAACAACTCGAAGCCCTTGAGGCCAGAGACTTTTCAAACCCCATGCACTAGGTTGGATCGAAAGTTCTGTCGCATTGATTCCGGAAAACTCGCAGCTGCTCCCTATGTAAACATAATTGCTCACAGAAATATCATTAGAAAGAAAAGTCCATCTACTTTCTGTCTTCGCCATTCTTCGAGAACAAGGGACTTCAAGAATAAAAATTCGAAAATGGGAACACTCACACTCCCGATTTTCGAAAGTAAATCGTCAAAAATCGGATACGCTGCAGAATCCTGGAAGCATGTTTTTATAGGTTTTGTGAGCTGTTCTTTCTAACAGTGCCAAATTTGTGCTGATCGAGCTTTTTTCAATGAAAGCTCGTGATTTTGTGAAAAATGCAGAAAAATGCAAAAAACGTCATTTTTTGCCGTTTTTGAGTTGTGCGCCTTATGGCATTGTCTTCACGAATAAGTCGCTTTTGGTTAAAACCACTCAGTTAGCTGTACATTTATACCTACAGTCACTCTAAGGGCCGCATGCACTAACATGGCCGCGGGGAGGGGATCGCAGCTTAAAGGCACCGTCCACCCAAGGTGAGGGTTCACGAGATTCGATGGCATACTAATGTGGGCCCCCACACTAGGCCAACCCCCAAGTTTTCTCGCAAAAGAGTGCTTCCGGAGCGAAAAATCCGCTTTGGAAGGTACGTGGTACGTGATCCAAAGGTGGTCACTCCGCCCATTTTGCAGATTTGGGGGCTGCGGCGCTGATATACGCCAGGCGATAACCGCGCCGCAGCCCTGCAAACTGCACTTCCACCCGTCCCGTTTTCTCCAAAATAGGGGTTTTTGGGATTCTCGACTTCATATTCGAAATCAGGGCCTTCAGAAGGCCCGGAAGCGACAAAAACATGGAAGTCGAGGATTTGGGTGGACGGTGCCTTTAAAAGAAAGCTTCATATTTCGAAACTCCAGATACTTGGATTTCACGTTGTGCACCTGTCCGTAAGTATTCCTACTACCCTTCATTATAAACTTGTTGAACAGGAGCGAGAAGCTGTACGGACTGCATTTTCCAGCTTTTGTATGATCCCTGATGATCCCCGGCGGTTTTCTTTAAACTCATTTTTCTTTCTCCGAAGTTAACGAAAAAGTTCCAAACTTGTGCAGATTATCTAACCCAACAGTGCTAAGCATGTTGCTGATAAGAACAAATGAGGTTTTGAAGTCATGAAATTTTCGATGATGTCGACGAAATTCGGGGTTTACCGAGAAATTCGATTTTTCAAAAGTTCATTTGTTCTCATCAACAACATCCTTAGCACTGTTGTGTTAGGTGTTCAGTATAACTTTGGAAGGTTTTCGTTAATTTCGGAGAAAGAAAAATGACTTTGAAGAATAGATGTTCGTCCCCCAGGGATCATCAGGGGATCCTACAAGAAGCTGGGAAATGCGGCTTGTACAGCTTCTCGCTTCTGCTCAATATGTTCATAGTGAAGGATGGTGGGAGTATTTACGGACAGGTAGACAGCGTGAAATTCAGATATCCGGAGCTTCAGGATATAAAGCTTTCTTCTGAAGCTGCGAATCCCCTCCCTAGCGGAAATGTTAGTGCATGCGGCCCTAAGAATCTCGAGAAATGCCAAAATAACTATCAGGGTCATAGCGTATAAGAAGTCCTGAAACGAATGTAAATAGTAGTCATTTTAACAAAAATAAAGGCATGACCCACCATGTGGGTCGCATTGTCCCACGCGGCAGTTATTGCACGTTGTCGTCAATGTGTTAACTTGGAACTTAAGCGCTTTATCAGGTCGTTCCATAAGTTCATAGCGTTCTTATTTTTGTCGCCGTTTTCTGGTGAAACGGTTGGCTTCGGAACATATCTGTACTACCGAGAGGGCATATTCTACAAGACTTGCGTTTTATTTTTGAAGTAAACCTAATGACCTTCGCCTTGTAAGGGCTTGAAGCAATGCTCTTGTGTAGAAAAAAATGGCGTTTTCGACATCTGCATCTTCGGTCCCGCATACGGAAATCATCACAGGAAATTTTCCACTTGAAATTTTTATGAGTGATGAGGAACAACTGTTTATCGGAATACGATGCACATAGAAGTACAGTTCTTTTCAAGGAAGACGCTTCAGTGAAAGATAGAGCGCATTTTTACTGTATGAGTGGATGTTTTGCGTTTGATGGGAATCGCGGAGCTTTCTAAGCCAACATTTTTTTTGTTGGGAAAGCGTAGAATCGCTGTTCAGCGCTTGTATTCAAGCTTCTGCGAAACTAAGCAAAGCTGTTTATCGCTCAAGGCCTGGTAGGACGGGAACATTCTGCTGCGAAACAACGCGTGAAACTCAAGCTGCAGCAGTCGAAGACAGCAACTGTTGAGACCTCGTTCAAGCGGTTTCTAACATATTGGCTATACCATTGTATCAGCATATCAGCGTGAGCCTTGCTTGTTACTAGCTACTCCTACTATACATGTAGAGACATGTTTGTGGAATGAATATCGACGGAATGCGAAAACTACAGGTGTCGAAATCGCCATTTTCTGCCAATCAAAAAACTTTGCGTTAAGAAGTTATAGACCAAAGATTATTAGGATTTCTTCGAAAACAAAATCAATTTTTGTAGACCAAATTTGGCCTTTCAAATAATACTGCTATTTTGCCGTAAACCAGCTGCTTCACCAGAAAACGACGACAAAAACAACAAGCTACGAACTTATGGAACCTTCAAATACGCTTGACAATGAACATCATTACCAGGTTTTTGACTTAAATTGGCACTCGCCAATCTTCTCCCCACCTCAAGGTTAGGCACATTTATCTTGATAAGCTCACAAAAAACTGTTAATTAAGACTGAGCCATAACTCCGTCACGTATTGAGACAGCGCCTGAGGATTGAATTTACTCATATTAGCGCTGATTATTTCGATTTGAATATGCAACGCAAATAGAACATTCCTTTCCAATACGACATGCAAATGCCAAAGATTTGATTCAGGCGGTTCTCCATGAGATTTCTGTTCCTCTTAGCGCTAGTTCTGGCAGAAGCCTTTCCCGGCCAAATCCAACCTTCTATCGCCCGTAGCAATGATGATGTCCAGGAATTAGTGCAGATTAAGTTTGTGCTAAATTCAAGCAAAATCAGCTAAATGACTTAATCTTATAGATTGCGCCCAAGGACTATCACAAAAACCATTCATGTCGAGGCTGAGGGACTGCGCCCATCGAGAAACTTACATGATACCATCACAAACATTCATATCGATGCTAGAGGACTGCACCCATCGCGCTCATCGCGCCCACCGTGTCGCAAACATCGCTTGCATAATACTGACGAAAGTGCTTTGTACGATGCTATCCTTGAAGTCTTGCGCAATACTGACTCTAGCGGCTTGCACGATGCCATCGCAAAAATCTTGGACGATTTTATGTCAGGACGTCTTTATAGATCAGGATCAGGACGTCGTTATGGTTCAGGATCAAGAGGTCGCTATAGCTTATACGCTCGTAATCACCTGCGATCAAGAAGTGAGTGAAAGTAGAAATCTGCGTTTGCCGCATTTACATTTTGATCACTTTGTGTTGGAAGCTCAGCTGAAAGATGACTTTCGTCGAAAATTCTGAGACTCCCGAAAAGTGAACAGATAATCGTTAACACTCCTTTGCCTGACCTACTTCCGCTAGTAGGTACCCTGCTGAAGTGCTGGCTCTAAGGTCGATTAACATTTCGAACAAGCATCAACTGTTCTTTATTATTACACGGGTCAGAAAGACCCGACAAACCCTGAAGCCATGATAGCTGAGTTAGGAATCCTAAAAGGATCTGTTGCTTTAGTTCTGACTTTGTTCAGCTTTCCAATAATTTGGGAGTGTGTTTAAGCTTTTGAGATCTCGAACAGCTGTCGTGTGCTAACGTAATTTTCATTTATTTATACAAGAAAACATTGTAGAGTGCAAATTACCCAGATAAGTCCGCCTACAAATAAGTCCACCTTCAGATATGCCCGCTTTTTTTGATTCAGATAAGGCCCTTCAGATAAGTCCGTTTACTTTCCATTAAAACTACCCTGAAATCTTGTCAGATAAACCCAAAGACTGTCAGATAAGTCCGGACTTATTTATAGGCCGACTTATCTGGGAGGACTTATCTTCAAGATTTTTGGCAGTGCGAGGCTGCATTTTCATCGATTTTTCTTTTTAAAAAGCGGACTTATCTGTAAGATTTTCGGGTATATCTAGAATCAGCAACTCTGAATGAGCTGGCGTTAGAGCTAGTTTTAGGCAGGCACTAGACTTAATTGCTTAGCTTCTCAGCCGCTTTATGATGGTCAGTACGCTTATTTAACCAATTATAAAGCGCTTGGCGACTATGCGCCGGGCCTGGTAGCTGGATCTTTTGCGGTGCGAAGTGTAGACCTTAGCCCAGTGAAGTTTTCAGAATATTGAACCCGTCCACCTGCTGGTTCCCATCCTGCGTTAGGACTCTTTTTCGTCGTTTTCGTGCTATCCACTATGGGTTTTCGCATTCAGCATAGCAAATATACCGAGTAAGCACAAAATCTCAAAATCGATTTTTTGTCCGAACACTGCCTATAACGTACTTCTCTTTCTGTTAGGTTATCACATGTCTTATGCATTTGAATCGAAACTTTTCAAACATCTGTTCCTTTATTACTTTGCAACATCAATCAACCACGTAAGAGCCATTACTGTCAGCAATATATCGTCAATGCGCAAGAAAGTATCTGGTGCTTTTGCTGTGAAAGCTCGTGGCCTCCTGGTCGAAGAAATTCTGAAGACGCCTTCGAGGTCCTCCTCGCCCAATTTCCATAGAAAAATTGGTGGAGAGGTAAAATGGTAGTCGTGCCATGTCTGGCGATTACAGCATTTATAGAGGAGTTGTCCAAACCAGGTTTTTGGAGCTTATGTCGGGGGACGGTTGCTACATGGGGTCTTGCAATGTCATGAAGAAGGAAAATTTTTACTTTCCACATTTACCTAACACTCGAATCTGAATTTCGAATCAGTTCTAAAGAAATCCGCAGCCCTTACCTGAAATGACAAAACTAGGTACGTTGATAGCGCTCGCTTTCTCGGTAGTAAACCTTACAATCAGATCCGCAGCAACCGTGATCGAGCTCGAATAGTGGCTGTGCGATAAGTCACACCTACCGGCATTCATGATCAAAACGGACGGCTGAAGCGGGACGGGTATCGCAAGCTACTTTTCGTTATCGATCGATATCGATTATCGACTTCTATCGTTTTTTTGCCTTAAGCTACGGGACTGGGAGCTCACACAGGGGCTAAGTGAGCATGGTGATTACGAAAACAGAGTAGAGGTAGGGGTAGGATACTGGAATATATCGGGTTGTCCCGGAAGTTTTGTTGGTTTTTTCAAACGACTGTAAAATCACGTACAATAAAGGACTTAATGTGTTTCTAAATACATTCGTTGCTGCTTTTCTTTCTCTTCTTATGGTTATGATTTCTAATTCTCAATCCCCTGAATGCAGATAATTGCCAAAGTTCTTCACCCTTCCTTTTGTTTCACTCAAAGTTTGGCTTTTCAATTATTTCAGACTCTCGAAGAAAAGTATTAGTGTGTCCCATAATTATTTACCGTTTTTACCCTAAACATCAGCATTTCTCGAGAACTAAAACACCTACAAAGGGCACAAATGCATGATCATACTTCTGTATGTACGAGCTATATGATCACTGCGTGGGAGGAGCTCAGAACATCTAGGGGCGGAGTTTGCGACTTTACTCCATTCAGTCTTTTCTTTATTTCTAGCCATGGAAAAATTACGAAAAGTGTAGAGTTGATTGCTTGATGTGTTAAACATATGCTAGAATATATAGAGAATTCTTAGGATTTTTTGGAGCAGAGATACGATTTTTTTCCGAAAAGTTCGTTTTTGACTGCTCTCAGATTTGAGCTCAGAACTTCACGTGGAATACGATTCGAGCAGACTTTTGGAAGCCATCTTATAGAGCTTGCTTTGCCCTGTCGAATGATTACTCAAGAAACATCAATAGAAAGATGCAAAATGGCGACGGCTACAGTAAAAACGATAAATAATTATAGGACAACCTAATAGATAATTATAGAGTAGAAATCCTTAATTAGGCGGCAGTGCTTTTAGATTCTTCTGATCGGCTATGAGAAGCTCTAAAGAATTATTTCTTTGGAGGTATTGTTTTTTAGTAAAGCCATGAATCACGCAACTACAGTCAAGCTTGACTTGCTTCAAAAAATCACCTTTTTGGAATTTCGGTATTCCTATGCGTTAAAGGTGCGCAAAAAGTCAGGTTTTTTCCATCGATAATTATTACAGAATTCGAAATTCTGATCTATGTAATCTAAATTAAATTTGATGAGCTAAAGGTCTACCCTAGTCAGTAACCATTACAGCTTTGAAAAACTATTACGACAAACTTTTATTGTAGAAATTAAAGAAAATTTGGCGTCACTGTTGAGCTGCTCAAAGGCACCGTCCACCCAGATTCTCGACTTCCATGTTTTTGTGGTTTCATAGCCTTCTCATGTCCCTGATTTCAAATATGAAGTCGAGATTCCGCGAAAATTCCGAAATTCCCCGTTCGGAAAACCACAGGCCGACTTTCCAGAACGATGATTGGATGAGCGCGCCCAAAGGGCGGGCATGGATGGGGGCGTGCATCTTCGCTCCGAAGCAATTTTCTTTCCGAAGCGGCATTTTGCACCGCGACTTGGGCATTGGCTTGATAGGAGGCCTTACTATTATATTATATGCTGTCAAAAGCTCAACACCCTCAACTTAGGGTGGACGGTGCCTTTAAGGAGCTATGGCTATAACATTGCAAATGCAGACTAGAAGGAGAAAATGTAGCTAACAGAAAGAGCATAGAATCTGAATCGAGGTGCCCATGTCGTTATATCTGAGTTCTTTATGTTCTGATGACCGATCAAAGAGACCGACAAAACTTTAGGGCAACCTAATATAAGTGGGACTGGGACAGGTAATGTCATACGAGAATAGCGTATGGTGATTGCTATCATAGTGTATTGACAAGGCCGAGCGGAGCAGGATATGCCAGCTAGACTTTCATAAGCAGGTTTTGAGCGCGTGCAGTTTTACATGGTTGGCTTTGTTTCAAGCTTACAGATACCTATGCAGAGTTCAATTAACTAAGGGGATTCTATATGAGGTAGGGAGTATTGGACTTGTGAAATATAGATAAAATGAAGGTTCCTAAGATCGTGCTTCATGTCTTTCGAACCGGTAAAATCACAAAGATTATGATAAAAAGCCGAAAATCAAGCCATTCATAAGGCGACATGAACAGAACACGACTTTTTGCAAGTTCTTCGTGTCCACATCCTATTACCCAAAAGTGTGTGAAACTCTCTCTTAGACTTACAAATGTGATTAAAAACTATGCGTCGCTGGCCTTCCACTTGGCTAGAAGGAGCTATCAAGTAGCACAGGTAACATACTGGTCAGAAATATATGCCTTTGTAGATGTGAAATCAAGTTTATGCTTTCTAAAAATTGAACAAAAAGAAAAAAGATATTGGCGAAATTTTGCCTAGCACATTTTTCGGTACTTTTCCGTTATCCGGACCCATTTTTTTAAAAGGCTCTCATGAATGCGCTATTTGATTTGAGAACAATTTTTTTTTGTAGATTCTACGAGGGCCGCCTCCCTGCCACGTGTTAGAAAAAAAGTGACAAGTTTTGGTCCAATTTGACATGTTTTTTTTCGAAAGTTCCCGGTAAGGTAAAAGAGCATTTATGATCACCTAAAAGCTATCTAACGGTTTCTGTAAGAGAAAAACAATTTAAACTCATATTAGGACATTTACTGCTGTTAGGGATAATTTAAAAATGACTTTCTCTTCAAACTCTGTCCGCCATGCGATTTTAGCCAAGAAGGACTGTAAATGATGGCTGAAGTACCTCGCTACTGCTTGCTAAAATGATGAGAATCTATCAAAATTCTCTATTCTGAGCAAGTCCAGTCTGTTCATTAATAATAGGATAACGTCATAATCATAATGATATTTATTTTTGAAATTGTTTACTCGAAAATGGGGTCATTATCATTATTGGTTGAAAAATCGATTGAACTTAAGTCAGTAGGTAGGGCAATACAAACTCTTGGTAAAACCTGCTAAACATGTGGATGACATATCAAATTTTTTTTGACACGTGGCAGAAAGTTGACACTCCTTTCCTGTGCATTTAGGAGCAAATATGGTACAAGGAAAGAAGCAATATCCTTCTTTGAAAAAAAGGGTCCGGATAACGGAAAAGTACCCATTTTTCTAACAAAGGCTCACTTGAGGAGGCACACAACTATTTTCATGCCAAAACCTTCAACCAGTCGTGATAACCAGTACTTGGTCTCTACGGCGCATCCGAATGTTACCGAGCGTTCGATGAGTTCTGTTTTGTTTTTTACATACATCTGAAATATGTAGCTCTCAGCTCACTCAAATTTTTTCTCTTGTCTTGCTCTAGATACACTGATGCTGACGG